TCAATTGGAGAGAAAAAGCAATAAAATAAAGAAAAGTCAGATAAACGAGTTGGATGCGTCCAATTCGTTGCTCCATTCTCTCTGGCTAGTCTACTGCTAAAATCCCCAAGACGCCTTCCAGCTTTGTGAATGATTTATGCAGTACGCCTCGATCGTTTATAATTATATGCTTTATCTAGTTCGAATCGAAAAAAAAATACAAATACTTTTCTCTTCCTTCACAAAAAGCCTTTTTCTCTTCATTTGTATTTAATATTCACCTTCTTTCTCTTCTCTTAAAAGAGAAATATCTCAATTTTTTCCAGTCGTTACCCTGATTAAAAAGGAGGAAAAATATGATAATTATAAGAAAAGAAAATGTGAAGAAAGAATAAAGCGAAAGAGAAAACGGAGGGAGAGAGAGAGAGAGATAAAGAGAGAATTGAATTTATCCGTTAAATCCTTAGACAGATTCTTGTAAAATTGATAAAAGGCAATGAGATTTTTTTTTCTTCCTTCAACCCTTTCAAATAGAAGAATTTACTAATTTCTAACTGTTTGTATCATTTAGATAATTTGTTTATTTTGGTTTCTAAATGCAGTTAAAATGAAAATGATTTCTATTTGAGTATGTTAAGATTGAGATAACAAATTATCTATCGTTTATTTAACGTAAAGAAACTATTGAATACTATCATTTTGATGGATTGTATATAAACTCTATAAAAAAAGTCAATAAGACTTTACGTAACAATTTGATAGATTATACTATTAGGAGTGATATTAAAAATTGTTCACATTTAATTGAGATAGAGATATTGAAGAATGCTTATGCATTTGTTCACCAAGAGGAAATAATTATAGAATATTTAGGAAATCAGCTTCTTAGCTTTCCGTCATTGTGATTAAACTGGGAATAGACGGAATTTTTATAGACGCTATCGACCTTGAGGACGAAAGTGTAATTGAAGCTCATAATAAATTAGTATCCAATAGAAAGAACGTCTATTTCAATTTAAGTAGCTCTTGTACACTAATACGGTTTAGACTGTTAATATTAGTTTTATTTATTAATTATTTTGATTATTATGCAAATTAGTAAGTAAATTTAAAATAAATATTACTTATTATATTTATATAGAATGTCAAAAGAAATGTTCCAACATCCCCACGGAAACAATTGTAACAGAAGAAGATAAATGTTTCATTCAATTAACGGACAACCCACCAAAAAATGCCTCTTTTTGTTCAATTCATCTTCATGCGAAGTGTTCACCATACTGCTATTTGGAATTAGAATTCCGTAAATTAAACCTACGAACTTGCAATACAAAAACGGTTAATTCCTTTACTCCAACAAATTGCTCACAAGTCAACAACGAGTAAGTTTTTTTTAATTATTAAAATTGGATTTTGTTTTAATAAAAAAACAAAATTTAAACAAAAAAAAAATATTTTAGGAATTTCATATATCTCTAAATTTTGTAATAGAAAATTATTGTTATATAAATATTGACACTTTTTAAAAAGGAGAAATAGTAATCAAGAATTTTGATAAGAGAAAAAGAATCTATCCATTTTAGAAGACAAAAAAAACTAGCATTTATTAATTCATGATAAAAGTATTTTTGCTGTTTTGCTGTTTTGCTGTTTATATAAATTACATTTATATTTATTAACTATTAAAAAGAATTTAGAGACTTTTTCCTTTTCAATATATTAATTCCTCTACTCAATAAATAACCTTGACAACGAAATAAATTATTATATTTATAACACCGATACAATCTATAGATAGATAAATATAAACAATTATTTATGCATTATTACGTTTATTTAGGATATTTATTTTATTGAAAGAAACTGAGAAATGTTGATTTTTTGTCTTATACTTTTATATGTCTCTTATGTCACTTTTTAAGGTTAAAGCTGAATAAAAAGAGGGGATAGATGGAGGGAAAGAATAATAGAAACAGTAAAACTTATATATACAGTATACTGTATATATATATATATATATATTTATATATAAAATGTTTCCCTTAAGAAATAACATAAAAAACATTCTCACAGATGCGAATTTCTGCTAATGGTGGAGGAGGGAAAGACAATTAAAGGTATTACAACTCATTCTACAACATTTATGACTGGCAAACAGAGGAGAACATATATTTCAAAAACGGACCGACTACAACTACATTTTTGCTACAATAGTCATACTTTCGCCTCCCGCAATATCCGCCTTCGCTATTCTACTAAATCATCTGCAGCGCCACCTATTGATCTTGGTCCTATATCTGTCTATATTATTGGATTTATTGCTATTCTATTCATAATTGCAATCATTCTTATAAAATGGGCCAAGTGCCTAAGACCTTGCCTTGATCCTTCATATACTAAAAGAAAACAACTGTTAAGAGTTAAATAAAGGAGCTGAGCAGTAAAAAAAAAAGTTACAAGTTAAGAAAGATATTTTTCTCTTTTTTTAAGTATCAACACTAGATGGCGTTTATTCAATATTTTAGGATAATGAAAATATAGTAAAGAAAGAACGAATTGACCACAAATAATTGTATTTTGTAAATAAATAGATATTTAATGGTATTTTCTAACAAGGTTGTTAAAAGCTCTAACGATTCTGTTCTGTTAAAACATTCAATAGCCTAAAAAGACTTTAACAAGTGGCAGAAAGAGTTCCATGAAACAAATAAATAATATGTATAAATTCCATTGCCCCTTATCCCCTTTGAACATCTATAATTGTTTACAACAAGACATTTTTAGGCCTATTCGTCTATTATGTCTGTATGATCAATTGTAAAGTATCTATATCTTTTTTATACTTTATTGTACTTTTTTTTTCTTACACATTTATCCAATTTTCAAAGTTTTTTAATGTTTTTGATTATAAATTTGTGGTTGTAACAATTCGTTTTTATCAATTTTAAGAAGGTAATTCTTCTGTTCTCCTCCTCCCTTTCTTTCTCTTCTTCTTGTTCTGTTTTCTCGTCTTCTTCTTCTTCATCATCTTCTTGTCATTATTTTTCTCTATTTTGGTTATATAGAAAAAAAAAGAGTAAAATAAATAATTTCTTTAGAATAAAAATTTTTGGAATGTTTTGAACGTTCTATTCTTTTTTCGAATGTTCTATTCCATTTTTTTTTCTAATGGAATAGTCATTCGTATCATTTAAAAAAAAAGATTTAGTATTTATTGAAAGAATTTTCGCTGAAAAAGATAACAAGCTGCTGGCCGTTCACTACCTTTAACATCTGTAATCTGTTAATACTGGCTGGTCGGATGAAGGTTGATTACTACCATTTTAAAAATAAGACAAGGAACTTATCGAATCTAATCTTTCATTCTTTCCTGAGTTCATTCTATTCTGTTGAAAGAAATTCCGCGAAATGGCAAATATGTTGAAAAATATAGTTCAGTTTCTTCTCTTTGACTTTTTCCTCTTGGTCTTCACTATTATAAATGAGATATTTAACTTTTAAAGAATTCCTCCTTAGTGTATGAGAAAAATAATAGATGGCTCTAGTGAGTTTTCCCTTCTATCTGCCTTCATCTCTCAGTGGGAAAGATTTACAGTAGTAGTGTGAAATTAAGAAATATAGCTACTTTTCAATGATAAAAAACTATTATATTTTTAGCTATGAAAAGGTTAAGATACAAAAAGTAGAAGTATTTGAGATAGGAGTAAAGGTTTTTCCAATAAAAGAAGTTTTTCATTTAAAAAGAGAAAAAGTGTATAAAGTTTAACAAGTGGCTGAAAAAAATTTGTAGGAGAAAAGAACAAACGGAAAAACTTCCAGGCCGTTCGCCACCTTCGAACATCTGTAATTGGTTAATGCTTAGAACGAATGAAGGTTGATTTGCCGCCATTTTTTATAAGCCAACCAACTTTTCTTCCAATATTTTCTCGCACCACTTTAAACCTTTACGTCTCATTGAGCATGCGCGTTCTAGAAAGATAAGATAGTAGGCGGTGCTCAGAAAAATGATTGACAAGTTAAGCAAACGATTTGGAAAAGAGTATATACATAACTATATATTTGCATGGTAGAGAAGTAATAAAAGTTAGATAAGGATGCCGAAAGCCTTCTTGTTCACAAATAGAGTTTATAAAAGGATGAGAAAGAGGGTATTATTCCACAGTGATAATTCCTTTCCACCACTTCCCAGTTGGCAGAATGTTGAAGATTTTCAAGTCCTTCAAACTTGCGGTAAGTTTTTTTTTCTTAAGTTGAGAAGATGATTCTTACAAGTTTTCCAACTGATAATCGTTATTTTCCCTCTTATCTCTTCAACTGTAAAATAGAAGATACTTCAACTCTTTTTATATAACAACCTGTAACAAAGATATTAATAGTGCACTTCTTCTATTTTCTTAATAATATATTGAAAAGTAAAGTTTGCATATACTTAATTGTAAAAAGATCCTTTTTCAAGATCTTTACATCATAGCTAACTGTTTATCGAGACTATTTCGTATATATTTGAAAAATTGTTGAGAAAGGTTTAACTTCCGGTTTTTATGTCTATTTAGCAACAACTTGAAGGATTTGATAATTAATTGAGATAGGAGAAAGAAAAAAATGTTTTCTCTTCGGTATTTTTTTTACTTTCCCTCTATACCGAAATATAAATAGAATTAATATAGTGAAGAGGGAAGGGAGAGAGAGTCAGACAGTCAGTCAGTTAGAGAGGAGGGATATATTGGTCAATATAGAAATGATCGTCAATAATTTGTCATGTTCAAATGATGCCTTTGAAGTCATAACACTAAGTTATAGAAAGAGCAGCTATTAAATATCAGATCTACTTTGAAAATGTCCTAATTAAAAGTAAGCAAACCCAGGGGGTCGCTCAAGGTGCGAAATCCAAGAGGCTATTTAAACGAAAAACGTTAATTTACTTTCGGAACAGATTTTGAAACGCTATACCCAAAGGTTGCTGCTATAACAATATTAACAGGCTGCAAACTGTGTATAGTCGAACTACTTTTTGCATGAGAGATGTACACGTGCGTTGCACACGTCGAACGTGGGAATTATCTTCTTTCTGCTTCTAAAGATAACTTTTGTGTTTTTTTATTTTCTTCAGATTCTAACTACAACTGTCCGGAATGCGGTAAATGCTATACTACACAATCGAATTTGTCCAGACATCAACTCATTCATATTAACAACAATAACAATAATATTAACATCAGCAATGGTAAACATTACAAACAATGTCCCTATTGCGAGAAGAGTTACGTATCTACACCTGCTTATAGTATGCACGTAAGAACTCATGGTCAAGGTAACTTAACTTTTTCCTTTCAACTGTTGAATACCATTACGTCCCCTTCATATTTTTCATTTCCTCCCATCAGGCTGCGAATGTCACTTTTGCGGAAAAAAGTTTAGCCGACCGTGGTTATTGCAAGGTCATATCAGGACTCACACGGGAGAGAGACCCTTCGCCTGTCCAAAGTGTGGGAAAGCTTTTGCTGACAAATCAAATCTTCGAGCGCATGTTCAAACTCACTCACAAGTTAAACCATACATATGTAAAACCTGCGGGAAAGCCTTCGCGTTGAAGAGCTATTTGTACAAACACGAAGAATCTTCATGTCGGAAAAAGAGGAAAGTTTATGAAGGACAAAAGAAATAGTAAACAGTTTTTGCAAGGTGCCAACAGTAGCAGGTGTATGCAAAGGTCAAGATGTGCTGAAAGTATGTAGTATATGAATGCCGGTGCTTACGTATAGACAAATAAATAAACAGGTTTGGAATAGTTTAACAGGCTATTTTGTTAATTAGCTCTCTTATATTCTCTTACAGAGAAAAAAATAGCAGCTTTCAGTTGGTATAAGATCTTTGTAATTAAACTAGAAGTGTAACAGATAGTTTACTAAAACTCTTTGAATTTCTCAATGTATTCATCAAATATCTTTTCAATGAATACAATAAACAAGAAGAACATGAGATTTAAAAAAAAACATGCAAACAAAAAGAACTAAGAGCAAATATTTCCAAATATAAAAAAGCACTATAAAAGTCTCATTAGGAGTAAGGATGATTAATTGTTTCATCATGTCTCTCTATTGGCTATTTTATTCCCTTACAATGAGAAAATTCCCTTCGATAAAACTTTGAAAGCGATTAATACGCATCTCTAAACCTACGCATTCTGACATTCGGATAAATAAGCGAGCCGGCTTGCTTTGCGTATCAAACGTCATAACAAGCCTATCGCTATCGACCAACTGTTGTTAGAAGACGTAAAACGGTTTGTATGTTGTCTTTTTGGTTTTGGAAAATCAGAAAGTAAGCGCCATCTGTTGCCGATTAAACCCCCCCAGCATCCTCCTCTTTCGACCACCTGATCGTCATTATCGTTGTTTTTTTAGCCCTTCCTACACGGCATCCAATCAACATAAAATAATAAAATGTGCTTTCATTTCTTTAATTTTCTTTATTTGAAGAATTTTCTTATAAACTAATTTTCAACATTAGATCTATTCTTTCCCTTCCTTTCTTCAATATTTACTTAAATAGATTCGCCAGATTAAATCAAAGAGAAACAAAATAAAAAAGGAAATTTTCAACATTTCATCTACTTCAACAAAAATTCAGACACAAAAAATTAATCAGACACTTCAACCTTTACTTTATTAAGAAGCTATAATAGTAATTTATCTATATGTTACGTTTACAGAATTGAAGAAAGACAGAAAGAATTTTCAATTAATTCTACACCGATTTGGTTGCTAATTGGTTGTTATAAACTGATACCAAAATTAATCTCACATCTTAAAAGATTTAGTTGAATTTTCGTAAAAATAACACACTTTAGAAATTCGATACGTTACTTATCGTTGAGAAAAATAAGAGAAAGAGAGAGAGAGAGAGAGAGAGAGAGAGAGAAAAAGAGCTAGTGGCCTATTTGTTTCAAGTTTATCTTGCCTATTTTCGTGAAACTTCCTCCAAACTCAAATATTTAACAGTAATAAAGTACTTTTCATATTTATTGTTATTATTATGTAAAAAAATTTTTTTGGGTCAACTTTTGCGAATTCGATTTCTAATTGATTGATTTCTTTATGCTTCTTTACAAAACTTAAAACAATCCTATCGTCTGATCTTGTTCCGGGGAATAGTATCTTGTTCCGTTTACCTTTTAAAGGAAATATATGAATATATATGTTTGTTTTAAATAATCAACTCAACTGTTATATCGTGCTCCAATATAAACGATGGTAAATCTAACTGATCGGGTCCAATTCTGCTATAAAGATATTCTAATCCAGGAATATGAACTATTCGATTTTTTATTTCTGAAACGTTAAACGTTGAAAAGAACCAAGATTGAATTTTTGTCCAAAGAGATGCGTGCAAAATATAGAATGCGTGCATATTCTTTTTATATCTATTATCGAGTAAGTTGTAAGTTTCTTTAACTACTCCTGTCTCAGGAATATGCTTCCTTTCAGTTTTAGTATGGAAATAGGCTACAACAAATGGCTTCGAAACAATAGAATCCATGGTTCTTATTACGTGCATTACAGCCTATGAAGAATAAACGTATTAATGCAATATGCATTATAACAATAGCTGTAATTTACCTTTTCAGGATTGCATACTGATGGCCGAAAGTGTTTGCCAATAACTACTATAACAGGTCGCCCTCTTCTATCATAACCTGAATGATACAACCACCTTAATCTCTCAACTTGGAAGAGATCTTCACTTTTAGCTTTTGCAATCCATTGATTATATCGGAATTGATGATGATTGAAAGCATTGATTTGATCGGTAGACATTGGTGGTCTGGTGCGCCTTTTATCCGGATTTGCCTGAGGTCTGGAAAAAGGGTGTCGACCAACCGCAACAGATGTTTCAAAAACTTCATTAATGTCTACGCTCGTTAAAAAATCAGGAGCGTGAGCCCTTTGCGGTTTACCCTCTATTCTTATAATTCTTTCTGCAATAACTGGTTCGCCGGTCTCCCGAGATCCTGTATCATAGGGTAGGTGAACGGCTGAGAAAATCGCTTCATCACGATTTCTTGGAAAGTATAACGGCATTAGAGAATTATAAACGTCATCATCCTCTCCAGCTACAACAAATGCTACGGAATCAACATGTGAGCCGTAGGTTTCAAGGAATCGTCGAATTGTTCGAATAGCTATATGAGCACCTTCGTATGAAGGGTAGCCCCTCCTGCTTGAGTGTATACAAGGTATAGATATAGTTCTAATATTGTACTCTCTAACCAGATTTAGACAACTTCTATAGCAATTAAACAGAGCACTTTCAGCGGCAGTTTTATACCTTATATTGTACCGGGGTCCAACTGTATGAATAATACTGCGGCAAGGCAGTTTATACGCTTTCGTTAGTTTTGAATCTCCAGTCTTACAAACTGTAGTAGGTAATTTATTTGGATATAATATTGCATATACTACTTATTTATTAGGATAGGAACCTTTAATATTTCTGCGAACTTCCTCCTTTAATTCGGGACCAGCCTTTGCAAAAATTCTTTGATTCAGAGGAGATTTATCGCCAAACGACTCGCTTGTTGAATTGACAATTGCTTCGCACTTTAACTTAGTTATGTCACCGGTCCTATCATATTTTTTAAGTTAATGGTTATAAGAAAAAGATATAATTTGAGTCTTTCACTCACCAGACTATTATTTTACTATTCAATTCGTCATCTAATTTAAAGGAGCAATTATCTAATACATTCGGGTCATTACAAACTATCTCATAATCTGGAGCCACTGTTTGGGACCACTTAGGCAATTCTTCAATATTTGTGAACTCGCTTTCAACTCCGAGAGGTTCCATATTCAATTACAAAAACTATAATTTTGTAGAAAGAAATTAAATAAACGACGTCTAATTTTAGTTCAGTTATAATTGAATTCTTAATAAGGTAATTCAAGAATTCTTTTACTTTACCTTATTTAACATTTTACTTAAACATATTCACCATGATTTATTAAATAGCAACTAAATTGAAACAAATATTCGCCTGATGCTCAGAAAATACATCATGTGATTGTCACGTGATATGAAAATACAGATATTTTTAATAGAAGGATTATTGAAACCTACGAACCTACGTATATTATTAGAAAAATATTTAAAAATATTATTTTAGAAAAAACTGTTTGTTATTTAATACGAAAAAAAAGAGATTAAAGGTCAAGGTTTAATATTATTTTCCCCGGTTATGTTATCTATTATAAAGGATGAATCGAATAAATTTCTAGTTAGCTTAATGAACGACTTTAATTAATCTGAAAATACTTTGAAAGTATGCATGAATCATTTAAACATGCTGTTTATGAAAACAAACAAAATGAGTTCAACGATATCAAGTTTACATCCCATATAATTAATCAGTTGACGATGTTCTCAACTTTGATGATTCTTTGCGTTTTAGTTCAAAATATAGTTTTAACCATTTAAATCTAAAACTGGAAAGCTTACAATAATTAGAAAATATCATTAAAAATATCTAATTAATAATTGGAATATGATTAAAAGGAAATCCAAATGCGTATTGTGTATACATAGACATATATATATATATATATATATATATATAATCCATAAGTAACAAATACAAAATACTATATTTTTAAGAATCTAATATAACATAAATACAGATTTTTCAAAGTAAAAAACAAAAAAACAAGTTATTTTTGTGAAGCAAGGGGATTACGTAGGACCAAAATTACTGAGTCTCCACGTAAAAATAGCTTTGAGATGTATCTATCCTTATTTACGGGTTTAGCCTTCTTTTTGCCCTTTCCTGTTCTAGGAGTTTCTGTCCACATCTCTTTAACATTTTCAAGAACCATATTACAATGTCTATCGAAAGCTTTTACACGACCTAGAAGTTTCTTGTTGTTACGGCAGTTGATTAGAACTTGTGTATTATTTTTCACAGATTGAGTCAAAACTGATAGCGGTCCTGTATTGAATTCCTCCTGCTCCCTTTGCTGGAGCTCGTCTTGGGTCATCTCAGATTTAGGCTTGTTAAGTAGGGATCTGCAATTGAAAGAGACGTAATAATCATCAATTCAATTTATATAATCGTTAGTTGGAGAAAATATTAATATTATTTGAAATAGAAAAGGAAAACATGAAAAATTCACAAAAGCCGGTAAAATATCGTAGTGGAAACGTATATTTTATATTGAAAAAATATCAATAAAGAAAAGTCCTACATTTATTAAAATAAAGGTTTACAAAGATCATCAGTAAAGTATGATAGATTTTCTGTAGAAACATCTACTTACGACATATTTTAGTTGATTTCTATGGATATTCGTTAAAATTTGCGAGTTGACAAAACGAACAAAATGTCCACCACGGAAACGGAATCTACTTCCTGCGAGAATTTAGGCGGGAGTTATAAAACGAGTTATATTACAAAATGTCTTTGAAATGGTGTTTACATTAATATTAACGAATGTTTTATTTGATGAAAATAATTTTTATTGAGTATATTGATCAACCAGTAATATATTATAAATAAAATATAAATTGTCATTTATATTTAATATTGTATATTACATTTTGAAAATAACTCTCCATTTAAAAGTTCTTAGCAAATAGCTTCGGAGCGTTTTACTACCTAACGTGCATGGCAAAGTCTTTGGTTGAATTTACCTTTTGGTTTGAAATTGAGTAGGTGTTTCTATGCGTTGCTAGATTACAAGATATAAACATTATCCATTAGTGATAAGAATAGGAACTGTTGGGATTATCGGGTCTATTAAAATTTCAGCGTAAATTTCTCTGTATATTTCTTGTTTATCTCATTGAAATAGGACACTGTTATCGTTATAAAAACTATTACACGATTGAAAAGAGAATTTTTATAAAATAAACTGAAACTAAAGGTGGCGTTTTACTATTGTATCCTATAGGTGTTTTATTTAATAATTACGACTTGAATATAAAAAGTTAGGCTTTGAAAATAAAGTAGGACAAAATGAGTGAGGTCATTTTTTTTCTTGGCGCAATCCTTTATACAAAGAAATCGAGGTTGTTTTCTTTTCTTTTTTCTAGAAACAGTGTGGTACCAGTTCCAATTTTTAAATTTCTTTCTGACACCATATTATTCTATGTTTGACAGAATCCGTAATGTTTGAGCAGAACTACGCACCACACAGTAGATAAAGGTCACGGACAAATGGTTAATGCAGAATAATAAATTATGACTTTTTTCATCAAATTATGTCTATCATACAAACTAATATCTCAAGCTGGACGCCGTACGAAGTCGGCGAATGGTTAAAAGGTAAAATAGTTTAATTTTTCAACAGCGATCCTCGATTTTCAATAAATATCTTTTTGTTTAGGACTAGAAGACTTCATCAGACCTTATGTAAAGACATTTATTACTAATAATGTTAACGGTAAAAAATTATTAGTAAGTATTCGAAATGTTGAAATAGAAAAGAAAATTAAGACTAATATCCAATTTAGGATTTAACTCATGCTGATCTCAGAAATTTGAAATTGGAAAAAATTGGGCACCAGGAACTGATAATTCAAGCGATTCAACTGCTAAATTCTTTGGTAAATATAAATAAATTACTATATGTAGGTTCTATAAAGATTAAAAAATAATTTTTATACGAAAATTAATATTACTTATCAAGGGATTAACTTTATTTTGCTATTTTTTGTAGATATTTGATTGTATAATGTACTTTCTTTAGAATCTTTTTCTAATGATTACTTAGGAATATATACTAAATTACTCGTTCTGAGTGAATTCTACCGTATTGAGCAGCTATGTTATCCTAGTTTGTATAAGAATAGGAGAGAAAGTATTAACATATCTTTAAAGACAATATAGGCAACTCTCTCATTACAATAAAAAAAAATGCGTGGTGTTTTACAAGATAGGTTTTGTTGAATCATTGGTTGTAATCGTTAGTTTACTTTGAACTCTTTCCGGATACCGTTTTGTATATAAAGATAAGATTTTGGTTTTCATTTAATTTCTTTTGTGACTTATAAAAGAATATCCAACGGAAATATCACACCGCAAAACAAATTTTCTATTTACTTATTCATTTAATTTTCTCTTATCTTTCTCTTATTTCTTTTTTTTCCTGTAGCAATACGATCTCAACCAGGAGAACATACAGCATTTAGCTTTTAAGCTACGATGCAAATCCTTGAGTTTACAAAATGAAGTAAAAATTCGTACTGCCGAAAAAACTTTGTTAATTGAATCTGAACTCCAAAATGGCGGAAGAGTCGACTCTCCTTCTTTGCCTAGGTCCTATAATAAACACCATAAGAGGCGGGACGACCAAAAGAAAGGAGATTTTGAAAAAATCAAGTTAGCTATTCCAGTTTTGTCTGCTATTTCTGATATAGTTGAGGCAATAAAGGTGTTGATTAATTGGCTCGATAGGTAAACTATATGATTACATAAATAATTCTATAAAGAACGCTATTACGTCATATTGTTCTCTTGTCAACAACAGATCTCCATTCGATTCAATGGAAGAATTCGTTCGGAAAAGGCGGAAAATCTGCACGTTAGGTATCGAATTGATAACGGCTGCTAGAGGTGATAATGGAGGCTTTACTCAAAGTTATTTAGAGTCCAATGTTAGTTTATTACATTATTTAAATTAAGATTAATTATTAATAAGTAACGCCCGTTTTATGCGTTTTTGTTTCCTTTAAAGCTTGGAGAACTTGTCGCCAACTGTGATGAAATAATACGAGATTTTAACGATCCATTAGTCACCATGGGTCCTTCGCTGGAAGTAGCAACAGTTAGAAAGCAGCAGGATCAACAATTGGTAAGTTTGCGTGCATAATAGAAATCATTTTTAATCATCTTAAATGTTTTAATATGATTAAATTAAAATTATTGTTTCGTCAATTCTCAAATAGTTCGTCAAAATACGTAGATATGAGAGAGAAACGGGTAAGGGGAGGGAATAGTGAGTCAAGCCACTCAACCGTTTACCTTATATATTCTAAAATTACCATTTAGATTTGCTAACTCTCCTTCTACCAAACATAGCTCGCTTAATGTACATTAAAAATTCTCATTAGAATAGAATAGAATAAAATGGCAATTGTATAGAAACATATAAGGATGAAAGGAATAGAAGATTACATATCACAATGTTCTCTTGAGTTTTCTTCTTTCTCATATCTGCATTGTCCATGACTGTTGTTTATATTGTTAAGATGTTTAATCAGAAAGTATTGGGGGGACAATACACGAAACGCTTGGATTCTCGGAGGGATTCTGATAATTTTGAAGAAGAAGTTTTCGTCATTTATTTTTTGGTACGAGATATCGAGACGCTGATCAGTCTTTTTTTTTATAATTTTTAATTTTATAATAGTTTCATCTACGCATGCTCTAGACGCTTTTTTAATACTGAACAATTTTACTAGAAGAGTCTTTGATAGCTCCTAATACCTTCTTAATTATGATCTGTCATGTAGAGACGTTACTAATAATATATTTATGGAGACCATTCTCTAAGAACAGATCATTATCCCTGCTAAATGATTGTACATAGTTATATATTGCACTCTGCATATTTGTTTTTACCCGCTGTTTTATAAAAATCTATCCTTTCGAAAATTGCATTGATAATGACTATTTAAGACAAATACGCTATATTCTATCTATCCATCCTTATCTGGCCAAATATTTCAATAGCTATTTCACTCTTTTTGCTTTTAAAAATAAAAAGTAGTAGTAATTATATTTTATGTTAATATATAACGAAATATTATATGTTTCATAATAGGGAATACACATTCAATCAACTCACTATGGAACTCATATGATTGAAGATGTTAAAGATAATGTAAGTATCTTTCATTATCTACTTAATTAACATATAAATATGTACTATAAAAATATGAAAAGGAAAATTTCATACTTGTCTTATTTCACTTGTTTTCTTATCTATACTCTGTTATAAATTGTTCTGTTTTTTAAAGAATACTGCCATTTGGTAGAGCTGATAAGATTAGATTATTCTTTGAAGCTGAAAACCGCCCCGTACTTTTTAGCCACCAATTATTTTTTGTTACGTAATTTAAATTAATAATTTGTCAATCAGACGATTAAAATAAAATCAGTGTGGCCAATCTATCAAATATATTTTATTACCTATAGTATTTATTACTAAAATAGGGTATAATGGGGTTTATTTTATTGTTTTTGTATGTATTAGTAAAAAGGAAAACAAAGCAAATTATTTCATTCCCTTTAGTCCCCTGCTAAATTGTCTGGCAAGCTAGAATTTGGAGACGAATTGATTCAAGTGAATAGACAAACTATCGTTGGTTGGAGTTTACCAAAACTTGTTGAACTTTTACAAAACCAACAAGAGAATAAGGAAATTCATTTGACAGTCAAAAAACGTCCTAAATTACCGTCCAGTCGTTCAGTGAAGAATTCTCGATCTGGTCGGATAAAAATGTGTGGAACTTTACCAAGCAGGACAAGTTCTATTCGTCCATCGTCGTCAAGTCAAAGTCCTGGCAGTGGCATTGAAGACACTAAAGACGACCATGATAATGACGAAGTGTTTGACAGTGACGCACCATTACCATCTGTAATGAGTCTTTCGGCAATCGAAAAACAAAGGAGAGCTACTGTTTCTGGAGGTAGCCCAACAAACCAGAGACCGTCAAACGGTTCCGAAGCGTCAACTGATTCCTCACCCGACGGGGCTCTTCAACTTTCTTCTTCACCCACCAAAAAATTACATAATAAAAAGAATTCGGACTATTTCCTCGAGGCAGATGGAGGATCTCCGAGATTATTACGGGTTCAAAAGTTGTATTCCACAAGGAGGACAAATAATGAAGGGTAAACAATATTTTGAAATTCATAATATTTATATTAAAGGTGGGTTGGCTTTGAAGATGAAAAAAAAGTGAAAAAAAATTTGTATTATATTCTTTTTAGCTATGCATTCGTTAAAGATTTCATTAAAAGAGAAAAGAGAATATTTTTATGTCGAATGAATGAACGCTTGTGGCAAATAACATAGATAAATGTAGATCATACAACTTCATAGTCACTTTCTTATAGTCAATTGTTGCCATATATTTTCCAACTATATACTTTATTTATTATTAATTTACACTGCCTCTTAGATATTACATAAATATGTTTATCTAAGGGAGAACGTAAGATGGCGCTGTTGAAGTTATGATTCAATTTATCTATGTATATTTGATTCAACATAAAGAGGCCGAATAGTTTAGAAAAATTAATTTGCCAAGTTAATTATTATTTTTTTTATATATAAAAAAAGTATTTTATGCTTAAATAATGCTGAATTTAATCAATGCTCATTTCGTAAGCCCCATGCAAGGACTGTACATTATTCTATCCTGTTTCATAAACACAAGCAAGTTTTGCAAACTATTGGAATGCCTTATTCCATTAACTTATTGGATTCTAATGAAGACTATAAAAGAATTTATTTAGGGTAAATTGAACGGAAGATATATTTTTTTTAAGTGTTGAATTAGTTGCTCTCTGAGCGATAATACGACATACAGAACACGTTAAAAACCAGGCATCTATTTTTACTTTTTTTACGTGTATGAAGTCTAATTACAAAGTACATTTAAAGAAAAATGATTTATTCTATCAAAATTTTTACTTATTTGTAAATTAAACAGTCAAACATTTGTTGAAAATACCTTAAAAGGTAAAAGAAAAGGAGAGGGTGAAAAAAAAAGAAGGTTTATTAGCCGTTTGTCTACTTTTAAAGGTTCGAAATGAAGATTAAGTTGAATATTTAAGTTAAATAAAGTGTAACTGCATTTGATAGTTTTTTTTATTGTAAAAAAAAGGAGAGGCTTAAGAAAATTTTAAATTTTTTTCATTTTAATTATAAAAGTAACCCAAATTTATATTTTGGCTTCTGTGTGTTAAATCTGGCTTGTTGTTAAAGGAAAGATTAAGATTTAAAGAATCCAAATATAATTATGCTCAAAGATGTTGTAAATTTGTACTGATACTTATTAGTTAAGAATAATTTTCAATAAATTGTATGCTTTATTATTAATTTTACCTTCTTCTGAAAAAATTGCACGATTGATTAAGTTCGCTTCATTAACAATCAATAACAGACTCCATTTATTTGTAATAGTAAAACTTCACAGACAAATAGTAGGGCCATATAATTCCTCCTAAATTATTCTATTATCTATAAATGCTAATAACAAAACGACATACTGTTCAAAGCTATCTCACTGTTATAATTTGAAGTAAGAAGAAAAACTGTCTTTACTAAAATGAGTCTTCCGAAATATAGGCAAATAACAGCTGTAAAAATGAGAGAACATTCGAAATCGACAACGTCCATAGTAAGTAGATCTTTGCTAATATACTATTCATATATATATTGTATATATATAATATATATATATATATACAAGTATATTCATTTAATTCGATTATAAATTGGCCTTGAGTTTTACAATTAGTGGCCAAATTCACATTACTCTATTTATGATTGTACATTCGTCGGAAAAATGAATGACAACCTCTTTAGAAGTCGTCAAGTTCTGAAAATAAGTACAAGTGTAATGAATTTAAGTTCTACACCAACGAAATCCTTTAGTAAATGGCCATCGGCTCAATCTTTAAGCAGAGTGGTATGTTCAAGAGAGACAGACTTACAGCTAATATTGATTGATAAGAGCTTAAGAAATCGACAGATGCTAAAATATCTGATAAGAGAAAAAAAATAGCTGGTCTTATTTTTTTTGGTTTTCTCATAAGCTAATGTAAATCAGCACTTCCTGCTGACCGATGAGTTTACCAATTGTCGATTAATCATTCTGAATGTGCTTTTGAGCCTATTACGGTGTTTATCTAGTTGCTCCTCAGAATAAAATATGAATTGTTTCTTTTACAGTCTCCCTCGATTTTCCGGAAAGGTATAAGAAGGAATTTTGGTGAGAAATTAAAGCTTTTTATTTTTAGTTTCATTAAAACACATATACGCACGTTCGAAGAATAATATCGATACTTTCTGCTAGTTTTTGGCAAACATTCTGTTTCTTATAATTATAATGGAATTAAAGTTGTTGGTTAAAGAGATAAAATTATGTCTTTAAAATCGAAGTTTATAGAATAATTCATTTTTAAATGAAATATAATATACCTAATTTTATATTGTAACAATAGAAATTTGTAATTTAATGGCGAGAGGAAGTTGTTGGTGAAATTAACCGCCAAACAATATAGGCCTACCTCTCTCTTTAACTGTTTCCTATCAGTCCCGCATCTGCTTTGCATTACCCGCTATGATCGTACTGTGCTAAACAATTTTTTCCTCTTTCTGCGCCAAACCGGGTAACAAAATGTTAAGCTCATTTCGAAAACGTGCAGAATTGGAAACTTCTACAATAAACCGACGGATATCTGTGAAAGACCTCGGACAAGGAGACTTTCAGGGCTGGATGTATCAACGTGAGAGGAAAAGCCTGATTGGGGCAAATTGGCCGAAAAGGTGGTGTGTTCTGAAAAAGAACGTTCTGTTAGTATATAAATCCCAAGAATCAAATGAAGCTCATGCAAGATGCATAATTTCTAATGCTGATTTTGTAAGTCCTGGTAAAGTAACGCGAAAATTGTAAGTTTAATTTATTTCTTTGGAATTTAGCTAAATATTTATATGCTTATTCTTTTTTTTCTGAAAAAAGCGCAATTGAAATCGGACAAAAAAATGATCCACAGAAAACTGTTTATTTTGCTACTGCACAAGCTGATTTCCACAAGTAGGTGTTCCATAATTAACAACGATAAGACTTGATAGTAACTTTGATAAATTTTTATTTTCTCTGTAGTTGGTTGTTAAATTTACAAGCTGCTCATACTCTTTATAAGAAAACCGAGGAAGAAGCTGACAGAGATGAGGCATATAGTGATACGGACGACGAATCGTCCAATAGATCCCAAAAGTCAGTTACTTCTAGTAGAGAAGAATTAGATGATATGGGTACATCTGAGATTATACATCGTCGACAACAAAAAGTTGAATTAGAAGAGAAAAAGAGCATGTATGAAGAAAAACTAGAGGTCTGTATAAAGCCTTATTCGACAAAATAACAAGGTATTTAAATCACATGTTTTGCTTTCAGAGTAAAAAAGCAGAACTTGGATATATTAATAATATTTTAGAATCATACCAAAATGATACTGGAAGGTGCAAAGAACTTTTGAAAAAATATAGTCTACAGTATCTTAGAGGAGTTTCCAATAATCGTGAAAAGATAACTTCCTCTAATTGCGATGATGAGTCGCAATGCTAGCATTTATTTTACAGTTTCCAAATATTTTTCACCGATTTTTCTCTATTTTTTTTTACGAATCTTTAAAATTAAAGAACAATTTTGTACTAAAAATTGGACTAGAATGCATCTGTTAAAGAGATAAATTAATTTGATTTTTATTCCGTGCCATTAATGTTTATTTTACAGAATATTGTATTGTACATTGTTCGTAATTCAGACGTCTAATAAACGTCGTTGGTACTCTAACAAAATAAAAATTTAAGTTTAAAACTATCTAGTTAATCTGTTACAAAATATCGGAAACTAAAGTCGTAAATTATCATTTTTTTTTCGTTTCTCATTTACTTAGAAAAAAAGAAACATAATTAAAAAAATTTTTTTGGAAGGAAAGATAAGAAACAAACAAAAACGAAAGTTTATTTCTCTTGGGATTCGCTAACTGGTTTCATGTTCCAATTTATGCAGTACATTTGTAATGGAATTTTTTAACTGATGTAGTTTGTTGAAAGCGGTCATTGATTTAGAACAAACGTTTATAATTTTTATCAGATCTTCCATATCCTTTTTGTTAATACTTAATAAACCCGAAAATAGGTTAGTAAAGTGAGAAAGAAAAATTTTGAGACATATAACTTGTAAATTATCATTTCTTCTTATCCTTTTACAATTTCCAGCCTGTTTGTCACAATAACCTAAACAGTCGAATAACTTACACTGACCATTATCCGAGCAATTAATCATTTCAAATGTATCGTATAGTTTTGTTGACAAGAAGGCCGAATCCAAATCAATTACTTTTAACTGAATATCTCTATTATTTTTGTAAACTAATCCAAAATTATCAAATTTTATATCACAAATATGCAATTCTTCCGTAAAATTACTTTTAAAGTAAGAGACCATTTCTAGAAATTGATAAGCTATTTTTAAACGTTCAACATGCTCAGTCCTCGACAACTTATGATACAAGAATAGCTTTACCATTGATTTCAAACTAGTATTTATATAGAAAGGTAGAAAAGTCTTTTCAACACAATAAAAACTTCCGCAATTATTATAAATAATTGGAAAAAATTGATTAGGTAACAATTTCATTAGGCTATACTCTGTTTGATAGTGTAACGTCCATGCTATCTTCTTGCAGCTCTTTTCATTATTTTGTGATTTACAGTTGCTTATCAAAGCTTCAGAAATATCTACGTTTTCACTAAGATTGATGTTATGATTTATTAGAGTTGATTCGCTTATTATTTTATTAAAATCTTTACTATTTGCAACATTTAGATCTATTTCGAATTGTAGAGGTTTTTTCTTGATAACTATATCATTTCCATCAATTTGACCGAAGATGATAGTCTTATCTGTTGGGAAAAATGATTATATATCAGTTTATATTGTAAATTTAAAAAATTACTGACCATTGTACGAACTTATACATGAGTTTGGAATGAAATCCGGTTCACAGATGTTAGCACAGAGTTCACCTATTACATGCTTTTCGTTATATTGTAGACACTGGAAAGGATATTTTTAATTTTTATACTTCATGTTGCAAGAGTATTCAGTCAATTTACCAGTTCATCTATCAATTTCGAAGATGCTGAGCAATCTCCACCTCCGTACCAATAGGATATAATAACACAGAATACCGATATTGTTAGAACTAGAATGCACTTAACATATCGCTTTAAGCCATAAAATGAAGAAATTGTTATTTTCATGATGTTAATAATAAAATCAACATTGTTAAATTTCAAAACTAGGCCGATAACTAAGGAAAATATCAATATAACTCTTTAATACATATCACCCTAAATATATAAAACTACAAAAGCTCTAATTTTGGAACTGTTAATGTTTATTTCAAATAGGCTAAATTTCTTGTTTTCTTCTTTCGAGTGTCTTATTTTTCTTTTTTGCTATAATTATCTAAACAATTGTCTTTTAAACAAATATAATTATAATACTATAGACGTATCTGGTGTTTTGTTAGTGAATAATCAAATATATTTCTCCCCTTCTATTTTTTTTTTAAAAAAACAAGATATATTTTTTTTCTGATAGTAAAACAACGAAACAAACGCAACATTCTAATTAAATAAACGTTCGCGAACAATTTTGACAATATCATCAATAGATGCCATTGCTCCTGCTCCTGTAATAAAATTTAATATTCTTGTTTAAACCTAATTGTATTGTGTTTTAGTGAATTCTTTTTTACCTGTATCGCCGCACATAAGCTTTTTACATGTTACAGGAATTTCTTGAAATCCCCACGATTTTAAAGTATTAACGTGAACTGATGTTATAGGATGTTTCCACATTGCAGTATTCATTGCTGGTGCAAAGAGAAATGGTTTTGTAAAATCCCAAGCTCTGGCGACGCAGGTCTTGTTTTTTTTTCAAGATAAAATCATTTATATAAATAATGCAATAGAACAATGTAATAAATAGCTTTTTACTTACCACTAGATTATCAGATAATCCATTACTAATTTTAGCAAGTGTATTGGCATCGATAGGAGCTATAAGTAATAAATCTGCCCACTTTCTAAGTTCTATATGAAGAACCGGATCTCCTCGGTTTTTCCAAGTCTATAAAATAAATGAGCAATTATAATTTGTTGTGCAAAAGCACTTAATTGCTTACTGTCCATTCCAAGTTATCATCGAATACAGGTACACGTATACGGTCAGTATTTACAAAATGTTTTGAACGTTCTGTACAGATTACTTGTACTTCTGTCTGAAAAACGTATTAAACTTATAGAATAGCTTAGTTAATTTATAATTTACATTTCCAATCTCCAGTAATTTTTCAACAAGTTCCTCAGCTTTAATAGTTGCTACACTACCCGTAAAAGCAACTAGAATATGCTTTTGCGAAGGGTCACTTTCCATCTGTTTGCTATTTTGGATTATCTATAATAATTAGAAACAACTAATTAGGGATACCGCTTAAGTATTCAAATAAATCTTTGTATTATATACTTATATTACACATTGTAATCTATTACTTAAATGTTATTTAAAGCTCTTTTTAAATCAATTTCAGAAATGTATTTTCGAAAACTTTTGAATTTTCTACAAAATAAAATACGATTTATTTCAGAACGATATTTTCTAAAAAGTGAATTAATAAATTGAATTATGTCCTATATTGCCTAAATTAATACTGCAATATTGTGTCGCTTGTTAAGAACCTTGATGCGTAAAAAAATTATTGAGTCATATTGTAGAGCTCCAACAGGAAACCCTAAACAAATAGTTTCGTAAAAATTATCCATTTTTCCTATTATTTCAAAATAAAATTTTACTCTTCATAACCTATAAATTTTGTAATTTTTGAGGTCTGTTTTCATGCACAGCATGTAGAAGAGAGTGGGTGAGGAATGATATAAAATGGCGATTTTACTTCCGTTCATTGGTCAATCGAATAAGAAAGCGATTTTGTAATCGATTCGATCTCTTTAGTTTCATAACAAAATCGATTAAAAATTAATATCTCCATATCGTATTCGAGATCTAACAAGCATGCCAAAAAATAAAGGTTATTATCCTGAAATTATAGTATTTACAAAGGAGATATTTTTATCTTAACAACCCATTCGTTTTAGTAATAATAAATGTATTTTTTTAGGAAAGGGAGGTAAAAATCGGAGGAGGGGAAAGAATGAAAATGAGAATGAAAAGCGAGAACTGATTTTCAAGGAAGATGGTCAGGAATACGCGCAAGTAACTAAAATGTTGGGAAACGGCAGACTTGAGGCATTTTGTTTTGATGGAATAAAGCGACTTTGCCACATTCGAGGAAAATTACGGAAAAAAGTATGTTAGCTGCAAAAGCATGGGATTTTCATAATATTGCATAATGATTTTAGGTATGGATAAATCAATCAGACATTATTTTGGTTGGTTTACGGGACTATCAAGATACAAAAGCCGACGTAATTATGAAGTATACAGCTGATGAAGCTAGGAATTTACGTAACTACGGAGAAATACCTGAAAATGTCAGAATTGAGGAAGGAGAACAGGAGGAAGAACTAGTACAATTTGACAATTACTCCTCTGAGGACGAAGTCGATGAAATCGATCAGGTAAATTATCTAAAAATATGAAATGACACTCAAACTAAAGCCATTACTTTTGCAGATCTAAGAAGGACCGAATTAATTATTTGTTTTAAAAACTCATCCTTTTTTTTGGACTCATAATTAATTTTAAATTTTTACCACAACCCTTCATGTTTAGTCATAGGAAATAAATTCTATCAAAAAACCTGTTTTTATTAAATTTTACTCAGCATTTGAATTATATATCTGTTACATAAATAATTTCGTATATGCAAAATGACGTCAAATTCCAATTTTCTACACTATACAGTATTTAAATATAATATATAATCTTGGTGATAAATCGTTTCCAAGAACTACAGTCTTAAGGCCAATTGTGTCGGTATAACTATTATAAAAAAGAGAGGCGTCTAACATAATCTAACAAAAGGTGGCGCAGTAACTAACCGGATATGACGAAATATTGCACGTGTTCATGGTAAAAGTAGTTGAGAAGTTGAATTGCACTCTTAACTACAGGAAATGAATGGAAAAGTTGGTATTTCTAATCTAGAGAAGATACCTTTTTGCTTATTCTTTGATATCTTTTAATTTCTTTACTATTCTTATCAATTTCAACAGAACGAAGAACACCGACTTTGGGGAGGTAGGTTTGACGGCGAACCTGATGAAATTATGAGAGCTCTAAACGACTCTATTCATTACGATAAGACCTTATGGAAAGTTGATTTGAAAGTAAATTTATCTTAACCGTTTTTTACTCTCTGATAAGAATTGATAAAATAGGGAAGTAAAGCCTACGCAAAATCACTTGCAAAAACCGGCTTGATCACTGAAAATGAATGTGAACTCTTGGTAAACGGGTTAGATAAGGTAAAATAAAACCTTTAAAAATATCACAGTTCTACTCATGATATTTTATAAAAGGTAGGAGAAGAATGGAGCAATAATACTTTTGAAATTAAAAGTGGAGATGAAGATATTCATACCGCCAATGAAAGAAGGCTAAAAGAGTTAATTGGTGCCGTAGCAGGAAAACTCCATACTGGAAGAAGTAGAAATGATCAAACAATGACAGATACATGTCTATGGCTTCGAGATGCAATCGATACTTTATCTCAAGAGCTTACAACATGTATTAAATTTTTTCTTAAAAGAGCAGAGAAAGATAAAAATATTATATTCCCCGGCTATACACATCTACAAAGAGCCCAGCCGATTCGATGGAGTCATTGGATTCTATGGTTTGATAAATTAATCTTTTCAAATTGTTAGCAATTTGTCAACGCACAATCTTCCTTTCACAGTTACGTTTTTCAATTGAAAAGAGATTTAGAAAGACTATTTGAAGTAAGGAAAAGAGTAAATGTTCTCCCTCTGGGCTGGTAAGTAAAATTTACCTTACAAAGGATCACTCTTGTTTAATTTCATAAAAATTTTAGCGGAGCTCTTGCTGGTAATCCTTTCGGTGTTGACAGAGCATTCTTGGCGAAGGAATTAGGATTTGAAACTGTTAGCGATAACAGTTTGGATACAGTTGGTAGTAGAGATGCTATTCGTAAGTCTTCCCAAATCATTAAAAAACTCTGTTATTCAATATCCTCTTTTAACAACTTCTTGTTTGATTAGTTGAATTTTTACAATGGGCGAGTATGACCTCTCTGCATCTAAGTCGATGGGCCGAGGATTTAATTATATACTCCTCAAAGGAATTTTCTTTTGTAACATTATCAGATACCTATAGGTAATGATTTACTTACTTCTAACTATTTAGTTCAATTGCTTATTGTTATTTTGTTTTTAGTACTGGTAGCAGTCTTATGCCTCAAAAGAAGAATGCTGATTCGTTAGAATTGATTCGAGGAAAAGCTGGTCGTGTTTATGGTTTAGTAAGTTTTAATAAGACGAAAAATTTAAATAACTTTAAATGCAATATTGCAATTTCAGTTAACAAGTATGAGCTGCATAGTTAAAGGCTTACCAATGACTTACAATAAAGATTTACAAGAGGACAAGCAAAGTATTTTTGAAGCTTTTGGTATTATGCAATCGGTTATTAAAATAAGTGGAGCAGTTTTACACACACTAACGGTACATATACTATGAATATATACAGTATATACATCTGTATGCATATATTATTTCAATATCCTTAGGTGAATGAAGATTCTTGTACTAAAGCACTGAGTGCTGATATGCTTGCAACCGATTTAGCATATTTTTTAGTTCGCAAAGGCGTTCCGTTCAGAGAAGCTCATGAAATGGCTGGCAAATGTGTTGCGTTAGCTGAGAAGAAGAAAGTTTTGTTGAGTGAATTGACGTTGTCTGACTTTCAAGGAATTAAGTAAATACTTAGACTCGTATAATGGATATATTATATATTATCTCATTTATTATATTTTTACAGCCAAAATTTCGACGAAACCGTATTAAAGGTTTGGAACTATGAGCAATCTGTAGAGCAATATACAAGCTACGGTGGTACTAGTCTAAAGTCAGTTGAAGAACAGATAAAGAATGTAAAGCAGTGGTTAGCCGACAAGGAAATCTAGCTATTAGTTTTATAATAGTGAATTTGTTAGTTGCTCCTAAATAAAGTAACGTGTTTATGTTGCCGTAAACAATTGGCAATGTCAAAACGTGCATGACCTATACTCTTTTAGACTTAGGCCTACACTTGTTTGTTGAATTTAAAAAAAACATTCAAATATTATGTATTTGACTGGGGTTTGTCGAGCTTGTTTTTGCAAGGCTCATACGAGTTTAGATTTATCATATTGAATACACAAAAGCAGCTCATTTGAGCAATTTTTCGCCGACAAATCCCGTATCGAAAGTAACGACATCTTCTGGCGAGTGCTCACCACGAGACAGTTTTACAGTACCGCGCCTGCGCATAACAATTTTCGATTTTTGTACCAGTTGGCGGTGTTTTGGTTCGATATGCTCTCCGTTCGCTATATTTTGGCCCGCTCGGGCAACAAACTTCTTGCTGAAAGATGCACATCGAAGTTAATATTCGTACCTAAATCTTGGAAGTCTTCAAATGACGAAGGGTTGCCCATTTCGAAACCTTTTGTTGTTGAAGGGTTCCAAGGACAAGAGCATGGAGAGATGGAATTTCTTAGCTCAAAAACAAGAGAACTAAGTGGACAATCAGTTGATCATCAGGCTCAGCAAGGAATTCAAGAGCAAAAAAACAACGAATCAGATGACAGTAGTTATACTTCGGCTTATCGATCGCAATCAAATGTTAACTTGTATTCAACTATGCAAAGTAACGTACCGGAACCATTTTGTAGTTCTCAAAAAGGCAATCCGACACATCTAAATATGCCAGGTGGAGGATCTCATCAACGAGAGAAATTCATGTACAATAAGATTCAGAGTACACATCCATCTAAGAATTTTTCAACTTCGGCTTCACCACCATCATCCCCTTCGCCACCGGAACAAAAGGAAGCACTATCCTCCGGCCAAAAATTGAAGATGGCTGTACGAGATTATGGTTCAACAGTGGTAGTATTCCATATTGGCATCGCATTAGTTTCATTGGGGGGTTTTTACAGTTTAGTTTCTTTAGGTGTTCCAGTCGAAAGCGCTCTCCAAGCACTAGGCTTTAAGGAAAAGCTACTGGAGTCTGGGGTACTAGCCGGAGCTAGTACATTCGTTGTCGCTTATTCTATTCATAAGCTGTTTGCGCCTGTAAGAATTGGTATCACACTTACTTGTGCACCCTTTATTGTAAAATCATTACGAGCAAGAAATATTTTGAAACCACCTGTAAAGAAATCTTAAAGATATTGTCTCCTTTTTCTGACAATTTGCCTATAGACATCTAAAGTTCACATAAACAATATTTTTTGTTCTGTAAATTTAAATGAATGACTCACTCTGCTATTTGTGTTTTTTAGACAGGGTATTACTTAAAACGGAACGAGAGGTGGCTAATTTTATAATCCATTTTTTGTTTATGTATTTCTTATGATGTTAAAGTTAAGATGATTACTTATTATCAGTAATACTTAAAAATATAACTCATACGTGTTTGACACAATTTATATGATAATAACTTTGTTTTGACCCATAAAATAAACTTTTCAGTTGGTACTGGCAACGAGCTTAAACAGATTTATGTTGTGATTTAATCAAATCAATTAAAATTAATTAATAATTCATACTGAATTTAATAAATATATTTTGCAGTAAAAAAATCTTGGTTTTTCTTGTAAAGTTGAGACTTGCAATCATATTTACTAGATTTGTATTTCCCGCCAATGAATTGACAATATACATTAACCAATCAACGATCTGAAATCAGCCATACAGTACGTGACCGATCTGTTGTGCTAACCGTTCTAAACCCTGCTGAACGTTTTTCCACTAGTAAATAAACAGCTGTAAATTGCGAAAGAATTTAATAGTTTAATGACAAATAATGATCATCTAAGCTAATCTTTCAGGAGACTAAAATAATAGATCTACTTAATCGATTCTCTAATCAAAAAAGGATGCTAAGACCAACATTTCAAGAGTTTCTCACTTCAATGAAGACATGCGTATGTATACAATTATAATTTTACGAAAAATACTTAGAAATGTAATATTACAGTCAGATTCATCAAGCGATTCGTCTGCAGAAGAGGACATAGAATTAAACGATGCAAAATCACTATCTAAACATAAAACAGAAAAAATCCCCGACCTGTAAGAAATCTTAGTGCAAACTTATATCATATTTTTTCAATTCTTTACCAATTATACTAGTCGATACTACGAATTACGCTGCCTTGAACATTCGACAAAAGAATTGTTAACGAAATATGATCGAATCCTAAAGAAAGATAAAAGATACCAGCATCCTGATGTGCCTTTCAAACAGAAGAGTGAGTTGTGAGAATAACAGATTAATATAGGAGATAGCTAAGCAGATTAGAAATCTATTTAATGTCTTTTCCTTTTTGTTACAGAGCGACAAAGTAGCCTTCACACGACTCAGGTAAAGTATTAAAATAATTCGTATAGAGGTTAATTATGATTAAGTTGTATTTCCTATCTTTAATATAAGGAATCCGATTTTGGGAGAACAATAAGAGCAGTCATATCACCGTCTGATCGGAAAAATTGGTCACAAATTCCTCATTTGATTCACCAGGTAACAAAGGGTATAATAATTTTAAAGTAGTTTTTCAAATATATCCCCTATTGTTAGGTCCAACTAGGTAGACTAAACTTAAACCGAAATCATATGACTCATATGCGACATTTGCGATTACCGTGCTATATGGATATTATTTCGGATGTTGGATCGAAAGTATTTTGTGGAATTTGTTCAGCAGATGGCGAAACTCTTTTAACTGCCAGTCAGGATCGAAAGATTCGGCTTTACAAAGTTAGGCGAGGGAACTTTGATTATTATGATACTATAACGGCTAAGGATGTTGGTTGGAGCATTGTTGATGTTGATTTTGCGGGTGACGGATCAAGGGTTATATATTCCAGTTGGTCAGCCTATATTCATATGGTTGATTTAGATAATGGTAGTCATGTAGCCATGCCAGTCAATTCTGAAAATTATTATAGTCACTTTTGCATATTTTCTTTGAAATTTTCAAAGTCTAATTCTCAAATCCTATGCGGGTTTGTACATATTTTTTGAATAGGCTATAAGGTGTTTATTGACTGTTGTTCCTGGAATTTAGGTGTAATTCGGGTTATGTCTACGCTTATGATATTGAAGCCCAGAAGAGATATTTAGCTGTAAGTATGGAAAGTTATCTGTCTTTTCTGAAATGATAACTCTTCTTTACTTGTTCGTTTTAAGCTTCAATCTCATAGCGATGATGTAAATGCGGTAATGTTTGCCGATGAAAGCTGTCATATATTATACACAGGAGGCGACGATGGCCTAGTTAAAGTCTGGGACAGACGAACCTTGAAAGAAAGTAATCCAGCTCCTGTTGGCCTTTTCGCAGGTCATCACGATGGAATTACTTATATTGATTCAAAGGTAAGAGGATCTTGGAGATTTCTTTCCAAGAATTACATTTTAACCAAAGCATGTTTTCATTAATTGTTAAACTATATCCAATCCTCTATACCCGTATAATCATATTGTATGTATTTGCATAGGGTGATGCGCGCTATCTAATTTCTAATTCTAAAGATCAAACAATTAAACTTTGGGACATTCGAAAATTTTCTCCAAGTTCTTCGATAGAAGTAAGTTTTTCAGTATATATTATATATAATCTAGATTAATTAATTAATTCTCATTCAATAGGAAACAGCAGCGTGCCTAAATCAGAATAATTGGGATTACAGGTGGCAAGCTGTTCCTCGACCATGTAAAATATTTATTTATTTAATATTACTAATTATAAACTATATAGTTTGCTTCTTTTTATAAAGTGAAGAGAGGATTAACAGCACTAAAGGGAGACAAGTGCGTTATGACTTATAGAGGACATCAAGTGCTAAATACTTTAATGAGATGCCGTTTTTCGCCAAGTTATTCAACTGGACAGAGATATATCTATACTGGTTCCGCGGATGGATCTCTATGCAGTATATTCATTACAATTAGCTTTACATTTGCTTTATTTCAAGTTTCTATTTTGATTATTAGTATATGACGTACTAACTGGAGAGATTCTACGTTACCTACGTGGTCACAAAGACGTCGTTCGGGATGCTTTTTGGCATCCATCGCTTAATCGAATAATAACATCATCGGTAAGCTAAAATAAAATCATTATATATTTTATGCAAATCTAATTAAGATACATTACAAATAGTGGGATAATACCGTTGGCGATTGGAGTTATAAAGACTTTGCAGAATTCGACGTAAAACGGCTTAAAACTCAGGATAAAAACGAAGATAAAGCAATAGGTTATATCTTAAAATCAACAACCGAACCTAAAAACAGACCAATATTGGTTTATTAAAGACTATTGAAGATAATTTGTGTTAGATTTTACTAACTGCCCCCATAATTGGCGTATGAGAAAAAAAAGAAGGATATATTAATGCGTACAAAGAACTTTTAGTTGTGTTCCTTAAGAGAAATTATAATGAATGAGAAAATTGATAGACAAAAAGAATCGAATCATTTTTTTCATAAAATATTATTATTATTGTCATTATTATCATCATTAACAAATATTTAAAGAGAAAAACAACTTAATTAAGAAAAAATACAACTTTTTAATGGAAATACTTAATTAGACAAAATAAAAACAAATAAACAAACAAATAGTAAAAAAATATCATTCAATTTTTCTTATTTTTTATTATTGTTTTAATTATTAAGAAATTTCTTTGCAAATTGAGAAAAGAAATTCAATTTTCCACTATTAGCTGGTGTCTTATGGGCCACGGCTGCTAATGCTTGTAAATCTGCTCTTGATAGTTGAGTTATTCTTCTTCGTAGTATTCTTTGTAAGTTTAGATCGCTATTTAATTTTGTATGATATGAACCTCTTCTTCTAACTAGGTCAGCTAAATCAGCAATTGTCCTTAACTTTGAGTATTTGAACATTCCATTCGCCAGTTTGAAATTACCCGATTCAGCCTTTTGAATATGTATTAGTAAATAGGCTATTGGAGGTAGATACGGTTTATCCGTTTTTGGAACTGGATTCGTTTGCATTAGTAGTTTATAATTATTTAATTTCTTGACTATTTTGTCAATGTTACTTGGTAAACTTTTCCAACAATCTAAAGTTCTGATGAGAACCATGTCCAATGCATCGATAAGTGATGAACATGTTGAATAGTTGCATAAATTCCAGCATTTTTCTGCCGTAAGTATTACTTGAATAAGATTCTTTCTTCTGGAATTTGATCTTAAAATTTCTGCGACTGCCCAATGTGTGATATCGCAACTTCTTTGTACCACATCAGCCAAGCGATCGTCAAAAGCGTAAGTTCCAACGAATAAGGATTCTTCAGATTCCGTACGACGATTTTTCAACGATCTTCTCACGTTGCTAGCTCTATCAATGAGAACTTTAGTGAAAAGAGTTATATCAATTCCTTGACCTTTTGAATTAAGGACATTTATTGGATGTAAAACATCGAAAAGTTCTTTCTCCAATAGAGTTAGCTGTTCAGCCAAACGGTCAGGATCAATTTCAGATAGAGACCAATCACCTTCTGGTAAGGGTTTTTTGATCTTGACCTTGAAATTTTGATGAGCCGTACAAAGCATATCGAATTCATCCTCAGAATCCGATTCCAGATTTCTCTCTTTATTCTCTCTAACTTCTAGCCAATCGTAGTTGGAATTATTGTCAATTGTACCCAATAGACGCGCATTAAATCTTTCTCCATAGTCATCAACGCCAAAATCACACTCCCTAAACAAACCCGTCCATACGGCAATAAGAAAAGCTGTTCTGGTTTTTAGCATATCAACTTCATCCGTCAGTTCAGCGTCTTCAAAACATTTCAGTTTGGATAATAAGAAATCGGCTAAAACCTCTCTTGACATTATATAGCGATAGGTTATGAAAAATACTCGAACAAAATCGTTAGAAAATACACCCTTTCCATATAATTGAGCCAGGAAACCTTCGGGATCACCAGCAAAGAATTCATCATCAGGGCCGTTCTGAATGAAAGCATTATGGCAATTAATCAAGCGGAATTCGCTGTCACTCTGTAAATGAGCCAAAGCGTATAAATAGCAGCTATCTAACGCTTGGTCGTCAAATTGAGCGGCTAGTATTCGTTGCTTTTCTTTTTTAAGATGTTGAACATCTTCGGTTAGAGATCTTAGTTGGTCTAGTATTCTTGTAGTTAATTGACCTCGGCCACCAATATCAATTAGCTTGCGAGCATGCCTAGCCGCGGTTCTCCTCTCTCTTTCTCTTATGAATATCTGTTGATCCAAATCGGATATTGTCCTTTTATTTTCAATAACGAAATTAGAATTGTCTTTACTAAAATATATTATTTCCCTAGGAGGAAAACGTTTCGGATAGAGAGAACATCTGCCAGTTTCTATGTTCGAGTAGGATTTTGTAGTCTGAATTTCAGAGGAGGCTCGCCTTATGTAAAGTTTCTTTTCGCTCTCGGACATATCATCACCAGACTCGGTTGTGTATCTAGCAACCGGACCACAGATGATTTTCTTTGGTTCTCTAACGTCGTATAACGATTGAGCTCTATTGATTTCCGTTCTACGAAAAGTTAAATCTCGACCTTGCAACATTCTATTTCGATCAACAACATTTCTATTCGGCTGCATGGTTTCACTTCGTACTCGCTCAACCTTTTCGGTATCGTCAAAAACAGTTATCATTTGTCCTTGACCACTTTTTAGGTCTTGTATATTTAACAGACTATGTGATAAATTATTCGACTTTTTTAGTTTAGGTGATTGAACACGACTAGTTTTCGATGAGGAATGATCATCATCCAATTGAATATTACAAATGAAAGGTCTATTAAAATTCTCATTATGAATTGATAGACTACGATTAATTAGTGAATTTCTATGCGGAAAAATTTCGCCATAGGGTGTTGAATGACCTTGAAGTCCTGTTGGAAATACGACACGAAATGTTATTGTAAATAGCTGTAAAGAGTAGATATATAAACGCCTAGTTTTACAATCGTTGAAGAAGGTAATAAAAGCATTTTTGAACATTTCAAGAAATAGTTTAACGTTCTCTTTGTAAACGTATAAGATATAGTTTCAAAATCTGATATTTAAATATATAGGTTATGAAATTTGATGCTATATTTTATATACTATTTTCAAAAAAGATCTATCCTATTGTCACTCTTTTCCATTCTTTGAAGTTGAAAGAAAATATCACTTTTGGTGTGAATTTTGTTATTCTTATATTATCGCTCTACAAACACTGTACTTAGTTTATTATTAATGTTTAACTTTGGTAAACTTTGAACAATAACTTATTTTCTTTTAAGTTAAACGAGAAGCGGAAATACGTGTTTACTAACCCTGATTTCGGGGAGTGCTTCGACCCGAGTATTCAACTGATTTTATTGACATTTTTGACTCATCGTCGTCTTCCGAAACGAAACGGTAAAGGGAGTTTAACAATTGGTCGGACCATGCAAAGTCAGACCATTTTTCTTCTACAGCCGAACCAAACGTTTTTCTAGACAATCCCGCCAGATTAACGATATCTTCAGCCATATTCGCCTCTTCTATTGTACTATCAATGAAAGTATCCCAACTAAACTCTTCCCTTAAAATTCGAACAACTCCAGTAACTTTCTTCTGCCTCTTGGCACTTTCTCCGCCCAAAAGTTTATCCAAGAGATAAGATGTCCCACTGATACCAGAGTCAGTATTAACTGGCGAAAGTGGCAAAGGAGGTGGCGAATGAACCTTCTTAAAGGCACTTTTGGCTTTAACCTAAATAAAATATCGCAAAATATAAATATCAATCAGAGTTAATAGTACAAACAATAGTAATAAATATAAGTACTATTTAATAATAATCATATTAAACTAGTCCCAATAGTAATAATAATAGTACGATCAGTAGTAAAAATATTATAACGTGAGAGAAGTAGACAGAGGTGGGGATAGGCTTATTTTTAAATAAGCGACCTCAAAGTAAAGGGTTTTTCCAATTGACAATGGGAGTACTTATAACAATGAACTTACGACAAAAGTAAAAGGATTTGAGGTTTACACTGGGAATTGGACCTTATTTTTGAGAGAAGTATCAAACGCTTAAAAAAAAACCTTACCCAAAGAACCTCGAATTAACCCTTGAGATTGTTGCAAATAATACTAAAATTATACCTGTCTAACAGTCTGCCTGAGATCTGGGGGGGGTGTTCCGGGTCGTTTTCTTATTGTTAGGTCAGATTTCGTTCTATGCAACTTTTTATTAGGGCGAGGTTCCAAATGTTCAATAGGGATAAGGGCCCATTTTGGAGACAACCCCTCGAACGGGAAAAAGGCGGGCACTGATGGAGTTTTGATTGATTCTTTTATTGCTCTAACTTCTTTTATTTTTTTGTCAGATTCTTTTGAGATGTTGTTAAATTTCTTTAACCTTTCCATATCTTCCTTTGTTAACCAATCTCTAAAGTCGGCAATTTTCGGCTTAGAGCACCGTCTGAGTTTCTTACCTCTTCTTATACCTAATAAAAATCGATTGTAAAATGAACAATGAAAGGAATGAGTTGTCTACAATATGCAATTAAGGGTATAATTTAAGCATTAGTTTGAAAAGACCTAACAACGGTTTAAACAATTGATCTTATCAAGAAAGAACTTTTTTATAAATTTCCGTTTCCGGTTATACTAGAAATAGTAAAAAAAAAGGACAATACCCCCCTCCTACTATGAGAATTTTATGACAAAAGAAACTGGTTCAAGATAGGCTAACATAATGGATGTTTACAAATCACCTGATGTTACTCGTGTCCAGCTCGTGATAACATTCTTGTAATAATTTCATACGGTTTTCAGTTGTTATAGTCGTATAATTACAAAACATTCCGTTTAGTATAGGGAAATTGAATAACTAAAGATGAAATGAATTAGAAATTTTGTATAGAATTTATAAATAATTGAGTTTATTTGGAATCTGCGACCTTTCCTTCTCCGGCGGCTAATTACCCACCTTGACGAGTGACAATTTTCACAAAGGTTTTGTTAAGTTTGACAAATGGATTCCAAAGGCTAACAATTAGTTTAATTAGTTTAAATTCCCTAAAATTATATGGACTAAGTAAACACTGGAAAATAAGTCTTATAACATTTCCCCTTTTAATTATTTTCCTCTTTTTAGGAGGTTAGACGAACGGGAAAGACGCGGGGGTAGGTTTAAGTTTGAGGGGGAGTCGGACATAAAAAAGTTACTTGTTAAGGATAAACAACACACTTTTAGTATTTTAACAGCATTGAGTAAATAATTACTAACTTTTTATATGATAGTCTATAAAAATTAAATTCACAAGTACCTTGTAAAAGCAGATCTCTAGCCGTGTGAACTTCTTTTATCTCTTTTAGTTGAATTTTTCTCTCCTCTTTTGGCTTCAATTCAACTCCTGATTGTATTTCGTCCATGATTTTTCTCCATATTGGATTTTTATCCTCTTCTACCTTTCCTCTTTGGCATTCAACTAATACTTGTGCGTCTTTAGCCAGATTGGAGCATAAATCACTGGGATTAAGTCCTTCTTCTGCGCAAGATTTTTCGCATTCTTCGAGAACTATTTTTAAATCTGGTCTATTTAATACTTCGTCGTCGGCTAGGGCATCGATTAGGGCCTCAATTTTTGGGCTTAAACCCGGACTTCGGCTGGCGGGCAACCTAAAGTCGGCACATTGAAAGAGTAAAATCCCTAAGGAAAAGAGGCATGTCTTTATAGGATCTTTAGTTTGGGATGTCACCTCAGGAGCGAGGAAAATAGGATCAACATTTTGTTTTTCTTTTAATAAAAAAGACGCTCGGCCCTCTTCGTTTAATAAAACTGTTTCTGTGCTCAGGTAGGTAGCTATTGAAAAATAAGAGAAACTAGGTCATGTTTTATATGAAAAATATGATAGGTATTTATGATAATAAAAACAATTGTTAAAAATACTTACGTATTTGTTCAACCTCTTCGAGGCATTTACAAACTTGATGACAAACTGCCCAAAGTTCTCTCTCTTCTAAACCACAGCCTATTTTTTCTAAAACGACTTGCAAACTAACGCTCTTATCCATATCAGGATAAGGCACGTTTACAATATCGTCCTTATCACTGTCTGATCGTTCTTCGACTGGTTTGCATTGAAATTTCCTTTGTATCTTCCATTTAAACGCCATCTGTTGGTCGTCATCAGTGGTATACATAAGCGACACCTCCCGTTCCAAAAAGCAATCGCTTTCATCCTATAATAAAGTAAAAAAGTAATAAAAAATGCCCATACAACAATCGTGTGATCGTTAAAAGTTTGAACTCTAGAACAGAACAAAAAATATATAAACAAAAAAAATAACATCGGCTATACTAATACGAATTTATTGTTTATAGTAAAATGATTCAAGGATTAATTCTAGGCCTATATTACGTACTTTTATTTCTTTTTAACTGTAATACTATATATACGGAATACTTCAATGAGAAGATAAAAAGAAGGAAAAATATTTACTATAAAAATTAATTATGTGTCATTTTTCAGTTTTCTTTTTTGAAAAGAAAGATAATCTCTAAGAATAACATGATAAATTCTGTGATGTAGAAAAAAAAGTAGTCGAAAGAATTTGATAAACTTTAAACTAGGTCAATAATTAGTTTAATAAAAATTCTATAAGAAATATACACTGTGTAGGTGTAAGTATGTGTATATATATGTGTGTGTGTGTTCGTGCGTACGTGTGTGTGTGTGTGTGTGTGTGTGTGTGTGTATGTGTTTAAAAGATATCATACACTGATAAGGATCGACACATAAAAAAAACGCTCATTAATATTCATGAATAAAAAGTAATATTACCTCGAAAGTTTTCCATTCTGAAACCATTTTCTTACAAACTAAATTTGATGGAATTAAACATCTCTCTTCTACTATTTTTAGAGCCTCTGTTAACTTCATACGAGAAGCGTAATCGTTTCTTGTCATTGATTCGATTATGCCTAAAAAGTCAACAGCGACTTCCGGTAATTCATCGCTTGCTTTGATTCCGTATGAAGCGCAATAAAGTAGAACAATACCAATAGAAAATACTTGACTAGAAGCGTTGAGAGGAACTTCGGGTGCGGTATAAAGATCGTCAATTTCCTTAGAACTTTTGACAAATTGTATTTTACCATTTTTCGTATTAATTCCAACGGTGTCGGGAGATATTGAAAATTTTATAAATTCCTTTGAATTAGCCGCTAAAGCGTCGTCTACAGCAGTAAGACATTCATTTAATACACTCCAAAGTTCCTTCTCTCCCAGAGCTTTTCTTCTCTTGTCTAATATTTGCTCAATCGTAATTAATTCTTCAGTATCTCTAACTGTTGGTAGTGAGTCAACCATTTTTCGGCTGTATTGATTAACTTTAAACGTGTTTGGACTGGGGTTTAAAACTTTTCGTAGCACTTTTTTGCACTTTTAGCTGTATAGATGGCGTTTTTAGTAATAAAGTTGGATTAATTGTTAAAAAGAATAAATCAATAATCGTTAATCCGAGTTAAATTGATAATTATAGTAACTCTTTAAATTACCAGATTAATTTTTGTATTTTATGTTATTCTTTGTTATTATTTAAAAAAGAAAAAGAAGCTTACAAAAAGCTTTTAAGTGTTTTTTTTTTGTTGCTGTTATTGTTGAAAAATAAAGTTCTTGATTTTAGACGGAAGACGAAGAGGATAAAGAGTAGGAAACAATAATAATAAAAGTAATAGAGAAACATTTAATCTATTTTAGAAATGAAGTCCTCTTCATCTGCCTCCAAATTGCGTCTAAACCTTTAGTTCTTGGCCACTTCTTTTGTTGTTCACGGAGATTTTTCTTGTTCACTATCGAATCTCTTTTAGAGTTTGAATCCCTTTCGATAAAATGTTGGTTCGCTTTTATATCCGAATCGACTGGGTAATGAATCTTTTGTACTACTTCGTCGTAATAGTCTAGACCTTGGTTTTGAGAGTCTTGCCTGTCATTTTCCTTTTTCTCTGATTTCTGATAAAAGATAACGTCATCTTTAAATGAACAGAAAGTGTCGTCTCTTTTGTTAGAGTTGGTTAATTTAGGCTTAGGCTTATTACTTCGTCTTGGTCCAACTTCAAATTCGCTTTGCCGTTTACCTATAGTTGATATATATACATATATTAAGCTTTAATAGCTTTAATAAAGCGTCTAGAATTCTCTTATCTAAAAAATGAGATTTCATAATACTACAAACATGCAAAAGACGAAAGGACCAGAATAAACTTTAACTGTACTAATGATGTTAGCTAAACAAACAATATTATACTAGATGAGTAGTTTGTAATTGGTTCATAAGAATAAAATAAATAGAAATGAAGGTAGTAGACGCTTGACTATAATTTACGTAAGAGTTGACAATTTTACGTAATTTTGGAGAATTTGAGGGTTTAAACAATTTACCTAACAAGTGCTTTTGCTGTTGAGAAAGGGCCTTGACTAAGAAATCAATTTGAGCGGTAGTCGCATTTGTACTTTCATTCACTAACTCTTCCTCCCTTTTCTCATAATTCCTATTCGATAGGACGTGGATTGTTGCGCAACAAGTAAAACCAAGGCATAATGATATCAAAACCAAAGTATTTATTACTAAAGCTGTTAATAATAGAGATTCGTTGATAGCAGGTCGTATAGGACTAGTTTCCTCCTCCTACATATTTATTAAAAGATATGTATATTCTTAGAGAAGAATTGACTATTAATAGAATAGGTTTATTGTTAATTATTTACTAACAGTGTCTTTAAAATTATTCACTTTACGCTGAACATAACGATTCTTCGAGACCAGTGAAACACGTAGAGGTTTCTTGCTAACCTGTTCAATTAATTCTTGAGGGCAGCTGTTTAGTTCTCTCGACCTTGGAAGTCTTTTGGAATTTTTCAAGGAATATTTTAATACGATATTTTTACCGCAATCGATTGTATCTTTAACGATAAACGGTATTGATTGAAGAATAACATGAACAGTATTAAATGTTGAACATCCCTTTAATAGATCAAAAGATAGGGTTTGAATTACAACCTTTCTATCTTTTTCTTCTTGATTATATAAAATAACGGTACGATTACTATCATTCGGACAGAAATAATGATTTACTCTATAAATAGTATTATTAAAATAATAATCTGGGAAATTAAATGTTTGATTTAATGTCAAATAGTTAATTTTTCCATAAATAGGCTTTAATTTAATGTTGTGATAATAACAATTAATTAATTCCAAATGATCAAGATATTCGTTAAGTTTATATTTTTCAATATTTTCATTATTACAAATACGTACAACCTTTTCACATTCGCAAATAGCTATTATCAGTAATACAATTAATTTATTATCTATCATCGTGTTTGTCATTCTTTTACTCATCTATCCTTTCTTAGTTAATTAAGAAGATAATATTTGTATATATACATACATAGATATATATGTATAAATATACATATTTATATATAAATATATATAAAAAACTGCATTTATTATTTAAAAAAAACTAATTAACTAGTTTAAAATATATATATTACATATCTAAAAATGATTTTATCGCAAGATGGCGTTTTAAAAGAATTCTAGTTTGAAAACAGGAAGAAATTTCCGCTCATTTCTACTTCACTTTCCCTTAGTTTTTATTACTTTAAAATTGTTTTTTCTCTAGAATAGACGAAGGAGAAAGGAATAAAGAAAAAAAATATCATAAATCACTTTCCCTCTCTGCCCAATTTCGTTGTACTTATGTTATAAAAAATCTAAAGATTTTTAATAAAAGGGAGAAGAAATATAAAGATAGATAGATAGATAGAGAGATTGATAGAGAGATAAAGAACGAATAGATTCTAAACTATATGTTAAACTATTTGAAATATTTAATAAAGATGATATTTTTTTAAATATTAAATTACGAAAATTGTGAAAAGTGAATAGATGTAAAAATATTTCAAATATTTAGGATAAGAAATGAATGTGTAATTTGCTATTGAACGTAGAATGAATCATAGATGAAGATAATAAAAACTTAATTGCATATATTATTATGCAAATGTAGTATTTATTGCATTTTTTTAAAAAAAATAGGTTATTTAATGTTTGTACTGTTTGTAGTGTTTGTTAAAGAATTAATTTATTTTTGTTTGTTTTTTCTTTCGTTTCTCCCTTTCTATTTTTTCAATATTGTAATAGTCATGTAATAAAATATGACCTAAGTTTAGTAAGAACAAATTAAAATAAGATTTGTTTACAGTTAGGAACAGAGATTAAATTAATTGATTTAACTGCTTCAGGTAGTCTAAAAGTAAATTGTTTATAAAACAGCTTAATGGAATATTAAGAAAATATTTAACAAAATCATTAATATTAAATCTATATGAGAGAGCATCAATAAACTAATTGGTTTCTAGTTGGATAAGTTAAGACGCATAGATGGATATAATGGTCAACAACCTTTTGAAGAAAGAGGAATTCGTTACTCATCCTTTTATTCAAAAACTTTGTTATTACGCTACTATTAGATTAGATAAATTAGAATTTAAGTAATAGTTAGAGCGCAAGAAGAATTTTAATTATCTTGGCCTATAACTGGGAAAATCGTTTCAATACTACATTAAAGAATAGTTGTGTTTAAATATATCTTGTACTTGATTAAGCAATATAGTATTTATTTTTAAATGTATTCTATTTATACATGATTGACATCAATATGCAAATTATTTATATATCTTAGTTGTCACAGTGACACTAATATATATTATACAATGCTTATATAAGGCTATAAAAACTAATATAGGCCAAAAGATTTTTTAATATTTAGCAAAGATGTATAAACAAATGAGGTGTCCGTTTTAGAAAAGAATGTTAACTTTATAAGATATGAAGAGTTTAGGCTCTCTGAGAATTGAAAAGTTATTACAATCTTCAAAGAGTCTACAAATGTATGGATGAATAATATGAGGATGACTAGTTTAGGCTAATTAAAAAAGAAACAAGATTAAAAAATAAAGATGAAAAGACATTCTACATGAGATAAAAGGCAGGAAAATGATATAAGGAGAGAGTATTTTCTTATCACGTATACAACGTTACGTTATATTTTATTATTATCATTTAATCAAAGTAACATATTTAGTGTTATGGCTGTTATGTGAATATAAGTAGTAATAAATTATATACTGTACATATAATCTATATAAAATATATAATGATATATTCTTTTATAATATTTAATTTATTCAATATTTTAATTATATAAAGTCAATAAACACTTTGATAAATACACTCTAAAGTATCATAATGGTCTTGTTTAATTAAATATAAAACTATACTAGAATTTCTCTTATCTTTGAATAAATTTGAATAAAAGTTTGGTAGTTGCACCTAATTGTTTGTTAAAGAGGAGATGCGAGTTTGGGAAAGGTTTTATCGACTGTATATCATATATACACACACACTATAATACTAATATATTAATATATATATAATCCCAAAGGTTACCAATTGGAGGAGATTATGCTTTAACTGATTGTCTGTTAAGATATATGAGATTAGCAATATTTTAACAGATTATTACTGATAAGTTAAACAACGAAAATGTAATTTTCGAGAGCCAATCAAGTACTCCCCTACCTATTCGTTTTTACATCTTGTTCACGTCTCATAGGGATACTTCTCCTTGAACGATGAAGAGCAAAATTGTTCTCTTTGTCGCCTTTTCCGTATTTCTTGGTATATTTTACTAATTTTTAAATAATGACCTTTTAATATATATATATATATATTTATTTTCTTTAATATAGCGGCTAATGCTACCATTTCTCCGCTTTCTAATTTAACTCCAAATAATCGTACAAAATGTCCAGAAGTAAGTGTTTCATAATTTTTACGGTGAATATGACAGATATCTGATCACTTTTTTTCTTTAAAAGGATAATAACAGACCTCCAAATCGTGTAAATACAACTGTTGTTTTGAAAGTACTTAGGGATGAAATGAAAAAAGAAGGTCTAAGTGTTTATATCATAACAAATTCCGATGAAAATCTTAATTCTGGAGCTCATAATATGAGAGTTAAGAGAATTAGTGGCTTTAGTGGTTCGAGCGGTTTTGCTATTGTTACTGACGACAAGGCCGTTCTTAGTACCGATAGTAGATATTTTGAACAAGCTGATGATGAAATGGATTGCAATTGGATTCTTTTAAAAAGCGGAGTTCCAGGATATCCAACTCCATACTCATGGATACTATCTGAAACAAATATTGCAGATTCCGTTGGTTTACTAGATGCATCGACCACACATAGCAGTTTCCAGGCTTACACTGACAACTTGCAAGATAGAGACGTCCGTAAAGTTACAGACGATCTTGTTGCAAGAAATTGGACACAAAGACCTCCACTTCCAGACAATGATATTTTTATTCATACTTACGAGTATACTGGACAAAATCATACTGATAAAATAAGCAGAATAAGAAACAGCATTAATGCAGGAGATGTAAGAATAATAACTGATTTACCAGAGATTGCATGTGAGAAAAAATCTCTTTTTTCATCTCTTCTTCGAACTTAATATTTTATTTTAAACAGGGTCATTTAATATTCGGGGAGATGATCTAAATGGATTATTGACAAGCCCTTTGTTCTATTCTTTTGCACTTATACCAAAAGATCCCGCAAAGTATAAGTATAAATATGAGAAACAATGTGTTAGTAATTATTTTTTTGGTATTTTCAGAAATCCAACTTTGTATTTGAAAAATTTTGCAGCTAAATTGGGTAAAAATAATTTAAAAGAGCACTTAAAGTGTGACAATCAAGGACAATGCCCACCTAATCAACAAGATTGCATAAAGGTAGTTATAATTGTTGAAATCGATAAATTATAGCCTTTTTATGTTGTTATTATAATTAAGTATTATTAAATAAAGGTGAAGGAGTATGCAACCTTTTTCACGGATCTTCCAAATACACCTGATCGTCATATTCTTCCTAGTAATGTGAACTTGAGAGTTCATGACGCCGCAACAGTAATATAATATGGATAGTTTTATTTCAATAAATATGTATAATTTTCTACTTAAAACAGACACCTGTCAAAAGAAATTCAGCCATTCAAATGATGAAAGCTGTGAAAAATGACGTTGAATATAGACGATACTTTGAGTGTCAAGTTAGAGATTCAGCTCATTTAGTTGAATTTATGGCATTTTTTGAAGATCAAATAGTTAATAAAAAAGCTGATAATTGGACCGAATTAACGGCAGCTAACTATCTAGATAGTATCAGGAGGTAGATAAATAAAAGCTTTGTAGATTTGGACAAAGAAATAAGTGAACTTACAGCTGTTTTTTGTCACATTTTGTAGGAGAGATCCTGTGAATAGAGGAATAAGTTTCGGAACTATCTCATCCATTGGACCCAATGCTGCAATAAACCATTATAGACCTACGAAATTAACAGATAGACGAATTACAAGAAATGAACTTTATTTGTTGGACTCCGGTGGTCAATATCTTGATGGTACCACCGATGTTACCAGAACTTTCCACTTCGGTACTCCAACTGCAGATGAGAAACTCGCTTATACAACAGTTTTGAAGAGTGTTATAGGTTTGGCAAGTTTGGTATGGCCAGAGGGAATTAAAAGTTAGTAACAAAACTCTTATCAAACAAAATTAGATAAATATTTTACAAATCCGATAGCAAATTTAGTTGATATGGCCGCAAGAGCACCTACTTGGAAGACAGGCTGGGGTTATGGCCACGGAACTGGTCATGGAATAAGCTATTTCTTAACTGTTCATGAAGGTATATTTCTAATCAATTTCAGAAACTATGCATGACCTAAGTTTTATTGAAATAACTAATCCATTATTAGGACCTTCCAACTTAAATTATCAATCTGCCAGAGATATTGTGCCAAACATGCTCTTTTCTGATGAACCTGGATTTTACAAGAGTGGCAAGTACGGAGTGAGACTAGAATCTATAGTTGGTGTTACGAAATGGAAAGGAGCTGTAAGTATTGTTGATAGTGGGATTGACTTATCTCTTATCCGCCTTATCTTTTGAAAATACTCTTTTTAACCTTGATAACATTTTAAAAGTCATATATATCATAGGAAACTTACCTGGGAAGGACCTACTTGACATTCGAAGCTGCTACTTTAGTTCCTTTTGAACCAAAGCTAATCAATTACGATGACCTAACTAAGGATGAGGTGAGCTGATGACATCTAGTAGAGATTTATTAATTGTAATACGCTTTTAATCCTATAATAGAGAGTATGGTTAAATAATTACAACGAAGAATGCAAAAAGAAGACCGGTGAATATTTGAAAAGTAAAGGCAAGACCGAAGCTGTAAAATGGCTCGAAGCAAGGACGAAAAAATTATCTACAACTCCTAACTGGGACCAAACAACACAACGACCACCTTCGGGAGGAAGTGCTTTAAGACAAACTTCAGTGTTTGGTCTCATATCCCTATTCCTACTATACGTTCTCTCTTAAGGGAAATGAAATGAATACAAATAATAATATTATAAAAAAGACAAACTTTTTTAATATTCTTACATAATCTTTGTACTATAAACAGTCAAATTAGTTACTAATATAGATAAAGAGAAAGAATTGAAAGTATTGTGAACCGCACTAGTTATTAATTATATTATTAAATACACTTCAAATATCAAAATTCAATTAAAAGTTATCATATTTACTTATTAATTAATTTTCTTTAGATTTAAAAGCTTTATTAATCTCTTTTTAAGATTTAATTGGGGATTGTGTAATTAGTTCTTTTTTTTTATATATATGCAGTTATCGTTATTTTGTTTCTATTGAATATCTTAACTCGAAATATTTTTTATGCTTTTATCTTTTCTACTCGTTTTAAGACTACTTCATAGTTAACTATCGTTGTTTAAATATCATTAAAAACTTTTTTGAGCAATTGTAACTTCTTATCATATGCGCCTTGATTTTTTTAGTTTATTATTAATCCTTCTGCTTGTTATGAGTGATTATAAAAAAAATATAGGTATATCTATATGTGAACTGTTTATAATCAATCTAAGTCGTTGTGAAAATAAACAGACTCAACTTTAGTATAGTATAGAGTTCCCGGATAAAAAGAATTGCGCGAAAATATCAACAAATCTAAGATATCTTGATGAATGTATAAATAACGTATAAGTAACGATTTTCGATACAATTCTGATTTTTGATTTCTTAAAATAACCTTCAACACAATAAAATAGAATTGTTTAGGAAATTTGATCTATCAATAGAAAACAAACACGACTCGTCAAAAACTGGTTCAGCCTTCAATATCTATTTTTACCGAGTAAATTGTGTAAGGAACTGTCTCCCTTACGAACATTATTTAGCAAAAGTTTCAAACTACGTCTAAACAGCTATTAACAGCTATTATAAATAGCTGGAAGATGTGTTTACATTGAACAGAATTGTTTTTTCCCTAATATTAATTATAAAAGAAAAGAATTTTTTAGAAAATAAGGGAATAAAAATCTATATTCTTTTAAAAGAAAAAAAAACAACTGTTTCAAGTGCAAATATTCTTTCTTATAGCACTTGTTTGTTTGTTTTTTATGCATAAAATAATATATAATGAGCCGAGATCTATAATGCATATATATATATATATATATATATATATATATATAAAGCGTTAAAAGAAAAGGGAAAAATAACAAAGCAACAGTGATTAATGTTTGTGTAAAATATACGAAACAAAACACCAGAAAATAATAAAACTGATAAAAAACAAAGAAATCATTAAAAACATAACTTTTAGTAATTATCACAAAGAAAAAAAAACCGTATATAATCAGCTAGAATTGTTTTGTTTTGTTTTGTTTTTCTTAATAAAATAACGTAAAAGTTTTAAAAGAATGATTAGAACTACATAATTATAAAGTTTGTTTTTTTTTGCATTGATTGTTGCAGAGATTGTTGCAGCAAGATGTTTGTTGTTTGTTTAGTTTTTATCTGTCTATGATGGTGAAGGTGTACCATGACCATTTAATCGATTTTCGACTGGTGGTGATGGATTTCTTGGTTGAAGCTCTGTTAGACCATCCGATGACATCACAGTTACAGCTGGTCCCTATTAAGTTCGAATGAAAAATAACAAAATCTTATTTAAGGACTTTTTTTTTCTTTTAAAAAAATACTAAGTTCGAAGGTTTGCCGACATGTTTTTATGTCTCAGCTGTTTTTTATTTACCTGAACACCTCTTCCATGCATTTGAATCAGGTCTGGGGTTGCCAATTGCATCATTCCTTGATGTCTTATAGTGGGTGGAGTCAGAGAACTTTCCAAATCTCCAGTCTCACCGAGAAGCATTTCTTGCAGAAGATTGTCAATTTTAGCAAGCCCAAAAAGCTTAGCAGATTGAATCAAGCTTATCATTTGAGCAGTAACTGACTGCAAAGAGGGCAAAAGTAGTAAAATTTGCCCAAATCTTCCTCTAGACTGGTATTGTCTATCGTTAATATAATCATCCAAATTTACGTGAATTTGCCAGCGTATGTTTTTGACCTTTTGCGTATCGGTAAGACCTTTAGCGTCAGGATCAAAGAAAACAATAGCTTTCAAGCATGAAAATTCCGTATCGTCCATTTGTACTTCCCTCATCGGCTTAACTATCTCATCGATTACCCTTGTAGCAACTTGAGAAATCTCAATCTCTTGTTGGGCTGTTCTCGGTATAATTAAATCGTTTCCAAGTAAAAGTACATCATTCAGAAGTAGAGATCGTCTTGCCACTCCTAATAGTAAATGTTCCCCGGCGTGAGCTCTGAGCAAAGCGACTTGATCATCCAAAGGTAGCTCGCAGAATGACGGAATGTATTTAGCCCACTCGACCAGTATGAGCAATTGTTGTTTCATTGAATCACAAACGTCGTTTATTGTGGCTACCTTCTTATTTCGGATATCCTGCGGATTGCTGACATGAGCGGATAATTGCTGTAATGGGAGAAACGAAAAATTCTAAGATATGAAAAAGAACGATCAACAAAGTGTTTATAGGAGCCATACAATTACAAATGTAAATAAGCGTTTTTTGTATATATATATATATATCTACATTCTACTTATATCTGATTATCTTATAATTAAAATATAAGCAAAAATTAAAGCGCAAAAAATGCATCGGAGGAAACAAATAAGCTATCAATCAACAAATAATTTCTTATTACCGGGCTAACCTGCCTCGACAGTAATTCCGCATTTGTTAAATTTTGTACGGATAGGGCTGAGTTATGATTCTGATCATCATAGCTCGGTCTTCTAACACTTATCCTATCTCTTTCATTTTGTACGGCTTCTTTTTTCATACCGGCCCGGAAGCATTTCTTCAAACGGCAATAACGACATTGATTCCTTTTGTCCTTATCCACAATACAACTTCTTTGAAAACGGCAAGTATATACGTGATTCTTTCTTACGGATCTTCGAAAAAAACCCTTACAGCCGTCACAACTCGCGGCTCCACTGTAAAAGAGCGCCATCTAGTATAAATCCATAGGAAATGACAAGGGTTAAGTACTTACTAGTGCTTTCCTGTAGCCCTATCACCGCATATAGAACAGTAGTGAGCGGCCGTCGACGGCGTCGAAACAGGCACGTGTGTCGTCATATGCATGTCATCTGTAAGCGAATACAATGATTACTGATTGTTTCAATCATTTTTATTTATCGGTACTTGAACTTTAGTCTTATCAAAGTCCTTCCCGAGGACATTCGGCCCTAACTGAATACCTGATAATAACTAGTAAAAAAAAAAGACCAGTCCAGCTCATCGATTATTACGAAAGAGAGTAGTTTACATTTTGGATAGGTGTTTTTATTAATTTGAACATAAAACATAATTCATTAGTTTTAGATTTACAATAAATTAGGTCTATACGTACTAGATATACTAGACGGTTAAAACAGTTTGAATGAGAAAGTAAGTCTGTTCTTGCGACAGGAAAAAAAATTTTTTTCTAGTTGACGAATATAATAGCGATAAGAAAGATCGAAAAGTAGGTCAGTTTATTTCTGCACTATTCTTTTAGACAATTGAAACGATCAACGAATGTATAAGGTTTTCATTCTTATTGTAGCCCTATAAACTTTAATAGCTTGTGCAATAGAAAAAAAAAGAAATATATCCATTCGAAGAACAGAAGCACATATAGAATTTGGTAAAGAAGGAAAAAAGGATTGAGTACATCTATCCCTGTTTCTTTCTTATCGAATAAGCGTCTTTTTGTCTTTTTTTTAAATAAAATTATACCTGCTAAAAGAGGAGTTGAAGAGGTTGGTGGAGTTGGTTCGTGAACGGTCGTCATTTGAGCGAAACTAACATCCGAATTAATTGGAGTGTCTGTTTCGAATAGTCCTTGTTTCATTACTAATAAAAAAATGGCCTAAGTATATATATGTATATATATATATACAGTATATACATACATGAATTTTAACATGTACATTTACATAAAAGCATATTTAAATAGAAGAAAATAATAACTAACCAATTTGAGAGATGGGTGATAAACGATTTAGCTGTGCATTTTCATTCGCCATTGTTACTTCTGATATTCCATCTGCAATTACAAAAATATATTGAAATAAGATGCTAATCAATGGCAGAAATAGATTAGAGAAATTTTTCATGCAATAAGGTAATAGAATACTAAAAAAAACAAAGTAAATATAAATTAATAACTATGAGATTTAATATAAAAAAAAAAACTTAAAACGATTAAGTTTACAAGACAACCTTCTTTAAAATCCAAATCTTCCTCAACTGATTTCATAATATCGAAAAACTTCATTATAGATATTTTCGCTTATTTCTTCGACAAAATTTAATTTACAATTGACAAATTGAAACAAATATTTGTGCAAAAACATTAAAAAACAACAACAACAACGATACAATTGAAAGATATAAAATTAGAAAATAATAAGAATGGTTACGATAATGATAAGAGGGTGGGATTGAAATAATATTTTCGATAATGTTTTAAATGTCTCCAAAGAGAGGAGAGAGAGAGAGATAAATATATTGATAGAGAATGAGAGAAGAGGAGGAATAAGAAACAGTAAAAGTAGAAAATTTAGTAGGGTAAACGAATATTTAATAATTATCGAGTTAAAGAGAATGAGATAGGTAAGAATAGAAATGAAAAGATTTTATGAAAAAGTAGGGATAATTGTCAATCGATCTAACTTTTATAAGTAAAATAACTCGATCTTTTCCAAGCGACGAAAAAAATGATAAACGACTTATTGAAGCTTTTTATGAAAAATCGTTATCTTCGCATTTCAACTATCTCAAAATCATCTTATCTGTCTGCCGTGGAACATTCGAATTGGGATTATCTTCGTTTATCGACGATCATTTTCAGATAAAAAAAGAGAGCTTTATCAGAGCCTCCTTTCTTATATGATGCTAAGCCTAGCTACCTGCGCGATATTAACTTCATTTTCGCATGAATTTTAACAACCGATATAGGTTAACATCTCTATCTATATACCTTTACTACATTGAATACATTTTAGTACGAACATATACAATTCTAGCGGGATAAGTGGATGCATCATTTGACAACATCACACAGAGTAACACATACGTCTAAAAACGTTTCCTATTAAAAAGCTCGTCAAAGAACCAATGTATTCTTCATTGTTGGCGATTACGTAACGCGCAGGAGAAAGAAATCTAATACATCTCGCATTCTCATCCCGTCCGGGCTCGCATCCTATATATATGTATGCAGTTGACGATAAGAGATAAACGATAAGACAGTAATTATTTGCTTTAAAGACAAGTAAAGATATTCTAAGCGTAAATATATACATGAGAAAATGTGCTCTCTTTTTCTTCCCAAAATTTTAGTTCTTAAATTTTCATAAACAGTATTTAGAAGATTATGTTATTAGATAATGGAAATAATAGAAGCAAAGTTCAATATCTAAAATATATGCATGAACTATGCACCGGCAAAGGTCTCTATATAAGTATTGTATACAAATTTCCTCATTCGTCTACCTGCAGGCATTGGGATCTTCATCCATTCGTAATAAGGGCGTTCGTCCACTTGCTGCATCCTGATCCGTTTCTCAGGCGGTTTTGGGAAAAGAGACAATGAAATCTCTACACTACCGAAAAGAGCGACATCCAATCAGCACTCGGCCCGTATTTGTTCTACGTACATGTTATAAGTATATTGTGAGATATATAAATGTATACTACAAGGATTATATAGGCCTGTAATCTTTCCTTCTCTCTCTCTCTCTGTCTGTCTGTCTGTCTATGTCTCTGTATTTTTCTTTCTCTCCTTCTTAATCTCTCTTTTTCTCATCTTTTCCAATTATTTACTCAGTATCTCTTTCTCTCTCTCTCTCTCTCGTAAGTTATTTACCTCAATCGTTCAGATTTTTATCTTACTCTCTTAATAATTAATCAATATACTTATTTAGTTCGATTTTTGTCAACGGTCTAACTTTTAAAAAGTTTTATATAGATAAACTAAGAATTTTTGGAATAGTTACACTCTATGAAATTAATTCCGGATATCTTCTCTTGAATTATCCAAGTTAGAACAAATATGAAAAGAAGAATTATCAGAAAGAAGGAGAAGAGGATGAACGAACGGATGAGAAGGAGACTAGTGCAAAGAGGACACGTATAGAGAACAAACAACACACCCTGCGTTTTATTATGCGACCGTCTGTAATTCCATACTGCATTGTAATTGTTTTTACTCCGGCTGTTACACTTTTGGACAGTAGATTTTTTTTTGCTACGAACCGTGCATGTCGTCCTTCCAGACCTCGTAGTAGTCGTCCACTCCTTCTAGCTTGATCGCGTCCATCGTTGCGAAAGAGCGACTTTCGATACGGATTAGATAATTGTTTCGTTCTTATCAAAAGACGACGAGATAACGTGCGGTTAGAGAAAAATTGAACATGTACTAATTCTAAAATATCTCTTTTCTAAATAACAAACAATTAGTTATTAAACATAAAGCGATTAACAAAACATATAGCAGCAAATCCCTTTTACAAATTGAGATATTTTCTGTTGTTTTGAAGCAATAAAGCGCATGAACAGTTGTTAATCCACCACGTATACCTATAATTATCTATTTAGCCATCTTTTTATCTGTTAATACGTGTCTACGCTTACATCTTTTTAACGTACCACATATATATCTACATATCTATATATCTATATATAAATTTATATATATATATATATATACTGTATGTGTAAACACATGCACTATATTTAAATCTTTACCACTAAATCAATTATTTACTATTATTATTCATGATCATTCTATTCTATTCTACCTGTAAATGGTATATATTTCTTTATATATACCATATACCATCATTTCAAATCATATAAATATATACTAACTACTTAAAACTACTCACCGTTTAAGACGATTGTGCTTTCTACAATATCGCCATGAATTGTTTGTCAGAGTGCCGAGGTCGACCTTTACTCTTTCCTAGGCCTATGTCCAAAATTTATACGCAAACAAGAAGGATTTTGTTGACTTATTACGTAATGACCATGTTTGCGTTTGCGTCGACTATTTGGCACCGGATTGAAACGCCGCTTAGTTGGTTATTTCTCCGTTTCTCGCTCTATTCTTTTAATTTTATTGTTTTAATTTGTTGTTGTTTTTATTTACTTTAATCTCTTTTTATTACTTTATCCTTTTTAATTTCTTATTATTTGAATTATTCTATAATTAGTTGTTGACTAACTTTTTTAGTAGCAAACGCTTTGATTTCTAATTTCTATCTCTCTACCTTTAATCTTCAAGTATGTATTATATATTGTGAATAAAAGTATATATATATATGTATATATATATAGATGTTTCTGCATTACTGTTTTTTTCAATATGTCTATCTTGCTCTTCTCTATCCCTATTTTTTTTACCATATTGTTTAAGGACTAGAGAGAGAGATAAGATTCTTTCGATAACAGTATTGTTCATTGACCATTTATAGCGTCATCTGTGGTTTGTAATTCTAGTACATCCTACTTAATTATAGGGAGAAAAAAACAAACTAAGCATCGTTTATACAATATTTGAGTGTATATTTTTAATAAAGTAGGCATATATCTATATGTATTACAGAATTTCTATCAAACTGTAAACTATTATCAGAATGTTCATCTCTTGTACTCTTTTTGTCTAAAACCAGATAATTTTGTTGATTAGAAGCTGAAATTTTTGATATTGATTGTATATACTTAAATGCTAGATTCTTAAATTACACTGTATAAATTTCTAACGTTAAGCCTATAATATTGCTATAGTTTCTTTCTTTGGGAGAGGAAATCGTATTTAATAACTAATTCGTAGTAGTAATTAGCTTAAGCGATAAACATATGAACGAAATGTTACTGAATAATATATAAACCCTAACGCTGATACTAAGTTATCTAATATATGTTTTCTTTTGAAGACAAGTTAAATTTATTTAAGAATAGAGTAGTACTAAATTGCTTCAGTTTATACGGGTCAACCAATCTACCTAACACGTGACTATTGAGGTTTCATACAAATGAATGGGGCGTATAAAGAAAGGTTTTCCTCTTTATATGTTAATATTAGTTTATTATTCTACGGTACTTTTTTGCTATACACTGATTTATATATATATTAGTATATACAGTATATATATACATACATACATTTATACTTATATATAGCGCTTTTCCTTAAGCCCCCAGATATGCAGTATACATTAGCATAGTATATCACATCTTATTTAAGTAGAGACCTCTTTTACCTATAATATTAGCGTCATGACTTCCACTAACGAAGGATTGGAAAATAAAACTGGAGTAGTTGTTCTATTAATACTATGCGTTATTGCAAGTATTGTCAGCCTGTTTATTATTGTTTTAGTCATCTTTGATAGAAGATTTCATGGTACAACCGAAATTTTAATGGGTAACTTAGCGATTGCAGATTTATTATTATCTGCAATTGGTGTCCCAACTAAATTAGCTCAAGCTCTGTCTAGCTCAGATGATTTTGTCGGAAGTTTGTAAACAATTAAATTGTATTTTTTAGTTGTATTTTTAATTCCTTTTTCTATCATAGCCGATGCCGTTTGTAAGATAATGATGTTTACTCCTATGCTTAGTATTTCGTCGTCCATTTTTACAATGACTGCAATGAGGTAATTAACAACATACGTTCTATTTCATTTATCTATTTAAATTCTTAGTTTTGAGAGAGTTTTGGCAATAATAAAGAATGTTCACCTGAGAGAAATACATCATAAAGTCATTATAATCAGTATTGTATGGGCTCTGTCAGTTATAAGCGCTGGACCTCAGATCTACGAATATAGTACATATTTAAAATTTGAAGAAGAAGAGAATAAAACTGAAATATCTTGCGGTTCTCACGGAATAGAGGTCTTTGTTTTTATGCATATTCAATTGTATATTTGAATGATAAATAAGAGTAAATTCTTTATAGGAAAATTTTGAAACTATCTACGCCAGCATACTTGTATTTGTTGGTTACGTTTTACCTTTGGTTATTATATCATGTAATTATGGTTTAATTATTAGATTTCTTTGGAATTTTTCAAAGTCAGAAGGAAGAGATGGTCCAGGATCTGAAGTTAAAGGAGCAGTATTTAAAGCTAGAGTGAGGGTAGCAAAAATGATCTTTACGGCTACCGCACTTTTTGCAATACTTTGGTTGCCATTCTTTGTATTTTTCACTATGGAAGAAGTTACTGGAACTGATGATAGTTCGGAAATTGGTTCAACCCTTCAAACGCTTAAACAAGCTTTAATTGTAATATCGACTTTTTCAAATCCGATTGTTTATGCCTGTTATCAAAAAAAATTTCGAAGTGGAATAATATCTTTACTAAGCGGGAAAACATTTAGAGGTCAAAGAGTGGAAGATACTTCAACAATGAGTACTGCAGTTTCATAGAATCCAGGAATCCAGTAGTTGTCCAGACAAAATTTTCTGTAGCTTGTCACTCACAAATCGTATCTTCCATAGTTTTGAAAATATACCAGTTGTCTTTATTACGTAATAAATATACTAAATTAATATTCCTGTTGTAACCATCCGCCGAATGTCTAAACTATGTTTATTTTTTAAATATTGTTGTTTTGAACCTATAACTACAAAACTCAATGTATCACTATTATTCGTTTAGAAGTAATATACTGTATGAATAAATTAGAAACTATTTGCGAACACATTTTAAAGCTTATTATCTTCTTTTACGTGATATTAAGTAATTATATAATATCTTTTTCGTTTCAAAGTATTAATATGAGAGTCTGTTTACAAAAACAAACAATGAGAAAATTAAATACTAATATTAGAGATAATGTATTCTTTTTCTATCTAATTTTCTTAAATGTACTGATTTTGTTCTAAATATTTAAATCGGATTTGATTTATATACCAGTTTAACATTTTGGTTTTGTGTTTATTGTCAAATTCTTTACGAACGTCGAAAACAAAGAAAAATTCTATTTTTTCTACTTCATTTAAAACCTTAATACTTTGATAATTAGATTATCAAGTGTCGGATATGTAATTGTATTGATATAATTACTAACTCTAAGAAACTGTAACAGAAAGTATAACGTTACTAATTTTCAAACTCTAAAATTGTCGAGCGATAAAAGGTGAATGAATCCTTCGAACTTGACAAATTTTCAAACATCTCGTACAAGAGATAGATCTGGTATATATATTATAAATAAAGTATAAACATATATTGAAAGTATATGACTTGTTATAGCTCTGGCTTGTCGAGCAAAATCTGGCCTTTTCAGTGATAAATATAAGCAAGTAGATTATGAAAAGCTGAAAACTCTTGCAGCTGAGAAAAAATTAGCTGGTCTTAAACAATATGAGAAGATTAAACAACTGCAAAACAACAGTATTGAAGTAATTTACTATATAAATATATATAGATATTAATTTTCTGCAAAAAACAAAAACTTGTCTATATTTATTTTTAACAGAATAGGGAAAATAACCAAATGAAGCAGCATAAAAGAGTCTGGCAAGCAGAAATAGCAAGATTAAGTTCTAATAGGCGAGAAATTGAACGTTCTTTAGACGTTTTTGTAAATAATTGCGAAGAAAATAGCTTTTTTTTCTCTCAAATTGAAAGTGAATCATTTAAAATTGACGGTGATTTCTTAAAGTTTAAAAGCGAAACTTCAGATAGAATATGGGAGTTAAGGTTGTATAATAAACTTAATATATGCATGCTTTCTTAATTAAATAGTCTTGGATATATCTTAATAGGGAAGATGTTAAATTTTGGTTGCATGAGAATCGTAACGTCAGAAAGGATAAGGAGTATAAAAGAGCACATCGTGATGTAACTGAAACTATTGAAAATGTTAGAAAGCAACAGCAAGAAGTCTTACTTAGGCTAGAAAATAACTATAATAAATTGCAAGCCGAATTAGCAAGCCTTTCGAGTAACATTCTATTGTTTATTGTGATAATAAAAGTTTTGGCTAATGTATTCTCATTACTAGATCCATCTAATCAAAAGTCTTATTTATCAATGGCTGCTTTCGAAGGTATACCGCAAGCAGCTTTTGATCTGGAGTGCCCCAACTTAACTTTAAAAGCTGAAGTTTTAAAAGAATTCATAATCATTGACGAAAAATACAATGAGAAATTGTCAGAGTTACATGATAGACTAAATCTCTATATTAGGTCAGTATTAAAATAAACCCAACTATAAATAAGCATATTGACTATTGTCACATATAGTCAAGGAGATACTGGAGGTTGGAATACAGACGAACATATGAACTTTGTTCATGTAATTGATCAATACACCAGCGACCTACCGAATAGAAGAACTTTATATATGGATAGGCTGAAGAGGCAGTTTCCCAAGAAATCTCGAACGGACCTTGTAACATAAACAATTGCAAAGTTTTCATATTCTAATCACCTGTTCTACATACAGGTTAATCATGAATCTTGGTGGATAGCTTACAAGTACTACTTGGAGAGGAAGAAGGCGTTAACTAATGATTGGAGTAGAGATAGAAAAGAGTTGTTAAATAAAGCCAAAGTTAGTAGATAATCGAAATAGCACTTGCAGAAATAGTATGTATATATAAATTATCGATGTACAGGTAACATTTGCGGAGGCATGCGTCGTGTATGAGCTAGAAACAATGAAAGATGCTTATAAAGAAAATCAAAGAGCTGTTTGTGAAGAGTTATCAGAGAAAGTAAGGAATTGGAGAGAAGAGAAAATGGAGTTACTAAAATTAGAACAACAGCACGCAATGAACAAACAGAAAGAAATCGAAGAGAAAATGAAAATAGAGGAAGAGAGAGAATCATTAAAACGTCAAGCTGATAAGCAGAAAGTAATTGATAAAATTTTCGCAATTGAATATATCTAATAAAAAACTACAAACAACTTTTGACCATAGATAATATATTATAAAGAAGAAAAAGATATCTTAATGAAAGAAAGAAAGGAAGAAGAGGCGAGAAAATTAGAAGAACTAAGAAAGCATTTATCAGAGCAGGCAGAATATGATAGAGAACGTGTTAAATTTAGGGAAGATGTTTTCAAGGAGAAGCAGAATATTAAAGAAGAAAAAGAAAAAGAAAGACAAGCTGATATTGAAGAAAAAGAAAAGATCTTGGAAATATTACGTCAAAAGGTATGATTTGTAATTCTTTGCCTCTAGTGTATTTTCTAACGACATAACAGGTTCGACCGACGGTCAAGGCCGACGGAGAGAGGCTGCGTGGGGAGACAAAGGCTTGGAAAGAGCATTTACAATCTAATGAAGAGGCTTGTATAAAACAACCGCTATTCGAATTAAATTCCTTCACGTCCAAGCAAATAACTAACGATCCAAGATTTAAGATAGAGCAACAACTAAGAGACGCTGGCTTGCACAACAACGATTATGCTCGGAAACTATTAGCTAATGTTAAACCACCGCAAGAACCTCGTCGAGATATGACTTCAAACGTGTTCAAACATTTAGAAGACAATCATAAATAGATGTGAAGTCCGTGGTAGAAAAAAGAAACAAATATAAATTCCAGTGACGTAATATCGAATTGACGCTTTTATTTATTTAGCTTTCAATATATTGCCTTAAAACTATTAGAAGTAAACATACATTAAAAGATTATTTTGAACGATATACTGTCAAATTAAATGCAACATAAGAGATTTAACATAAAAAAGACAACTATAACATTAACAAAAGTATTTTATAGAGATTTTAATTACTAATCAGTCTGTTTAGTCACTGCTGTAGAGACATCGTCCAATATTTTTAATAATTCCTCTTCTAATGCTTCCTCATCAAATTCACATGGAAACAATTTTTCATCTCCTAATATATCTTCATTATTTTTACACTGTTCAAAAATTTTTACCATAATGTCTAATTGCGCATGATGATTTAAACAGAATACAATCGTTTGGAGATCTTCAACTCTATCTGCCAAGGCTGTCAAAAAGACAAAGTGCGTTATTTAAATTTATATCCAACATCTCTTTATGTGTATATGTAATTTTACAATGATAGATGAGTTTTTATATAATTTATTACCTTTAAAGTTAGTTTGTTTGGCCGGTTTAGATATCTTTGATGGGTTGTCTGATTTATTCTTCTTAAATACGTCTTTAACTATAGTTGTCATATATTCGAATACCTTATGATCTGGCGGTAAAACTTTTGGATCACCTTTAACAGCCGCTAAAAATTCATTAAGCGTCGTAATAAACACGTTCAATATTAAATATAACATTAATAGTCCATAGGATACGATAAATAATTTTCCAACAACTCCTGCCGAGGTTGACAGCTCTTTAAACGATAAATGTCCAAATACGGTTTCAACCAGAGCGTAACAAGTAATCTTAAATGTACTATATTTATATGTGTTTGGTCCTAACAAGATATATCCAGATATTGCGTATGCCAAGAATAAGATTACGCAACAAAAGCCGATTGCCGATAATTCGTATCTGGACTTATATAATGTCATTATAAGAATTGATATAGTTCTTGAAACTTTTAATAGACTTAAAACGTGAAGTTGGCCAAAATATGCGCTAAATCCAATGAATATCATAAAATATTCATGCGCATTGAAGAAGGTTGATAAGTCGGTGTATTTTTCTCTAGAATTCATAACAGTTTCAACAGCTTTCACGCCAATTATCGTTCTCCAGACATAAAGTGCTATTGCAATTAAAAAGCATACTAAAGATAAGGCTAATAGCATTCCAGGTAACTGATTAAATTTTAGGAAGCGATATATCGTTCTAATTAGTAGAATTATGAAAAATACGCAGGATAGAATTTCAATGATTAAAGTTGTCAATCCCAGAGCACCTGTATATCTATATAATCTGAGAGAATCGCATCGAACTGAGCCCCATATTCCTCCTGTTCGCTTTCTTTCAAATTTCCACATAGCTTGGGAAACAGTTTCATGGTTCATAATTGTTACATCTAGAGTAATCAAACGTGTAAATCGATCTGTCCATCCGTATTTTTTCAGCTTCTTAATTATTTGTAGAGCTTCTTCGGCATTTAAACCTAATGATATTGAATAACCATCGTTCTCGTTTGAAAATGCGAATGCTGAGTGTGAATTTGAAGAATTATATGCCGTCCAACCAAGTGAATAATTATACTCTTCTTTTATACTATCTACACACTCAAAATTTTTAAGCAGTACTTTTAATCTACTATCAATCTTACAAGTTCGACTAACAATTCGTTGCTGACGTAATCGAACAGAGGAGAATCTCATATGATTTAATTCCTTTGTAAATTTCAGATCGTATTTAGTTCTACTTTTGGAGTTATAATATGCTGTTGGATACATATTAGGAACTACCGATGTTTCTAACCATTTCCATAGATTATCATGACTCTTAACAATTTTAGGATCTAGTAGACTTTTATAAATAGACTTATTTTGATAATAGAACATTGGATCTTGATTGCTATAGCATATGAATATAACTAAAATCAGGAATATTACGTGTAAGATGATGTTCTTGATCATGTTGTTCATTTTATCCTCTAGCATTTGCTTACGTTTCATTTCACTTGTTTGTTTTGCTGAAGATCTCAATCTTTCTTGAATATTCAATTCTATACGAGAATAATTATTAATGCAAACGCATGTTTTCAATTAATGTTCGTCTTACCTGGAGGAAGATGATTCAAGTTTTCCGCCTGTAGTTTGTTCATTTCTCCGATATCATTTTCGTAATCTTCGTAGCTAGCATCTTTTTTAAATAGGAATGTTATAAAAAAAACTACCAGAAACACTTTGATGGGTTGAACTAATACAACACTTTGAAGGAATGATAAGAAGAAAGATAAGAGCCATTGTAACGATTTTTCTTTTCCCCATTGAATTGAATAGAGGATTGTAAAGAATGCTGATACTAATGCGGCTAGAATCGAGAGAATCCACCCAAAAGGGACAGTTACTTTGCGATACTTCTTTGCATTGAATAAGAGAGTAATCATAATCAAACCAGGAAATGCAATAAGACAACTGACAAATCCAACATAAAGTTCATTTATAGTAAACGTGAATGGACCAAATTTAAGTCCACTTGCTTGAGCTTTCGAAGAATCTTGACCTCTATAGAACATACAACTGGCAATCATCGCCAAAAATAGAGCATCCAGACAAACAACCAATCTTTGAAGTCTTGTAAAATTAGACTTTGTCCTTCTGGCTCCAACCGATACCCATAAATGGTCATCAGTTAGTCTTCTACTAATATTCTTCTTAAACAAATCACTCATTCCTTGTTTATTTTCCCCGTGAGTTGCTATTAGAATTCTTTCCGTTTCGAAATCATCATGTTCATCCGACAGCCATTGATCGCATTCAAAACTGTACCACTTTTTAGAGTTCTTATCAATAACAACAATTCTTGATAAAAACCAAGGATCATATTTTTTCGAAATGAAGGGCATCTCTTCTATCCATATTTTTATACAAACCAACATTCCAAGGTCATGGCAAGTTTTCATAGTAAATGATCTTGTACTAGCTTTAGGGAAAGTTCTTACTGTTGACGATTCTAGCTTCCTCCGTCCTGTATCACATTCAGTTCCATAAATCGTAAAATGAACTTGAGAATTTGTTTCTGCTCCTGTTTTATTGCCAGTCATTATATGAATTTCATAATCGAACTTATCATCTTCGAAATCATCCAATAATGGCATTGGTACCCACAACTTTGCATCCTTTTTATCCATTCTCCTAGCTAAAGCGGCAAATGGAATAAATAATACAAGGATAGCCAAAACCGTTCCAAAAACTGCGGCATTATCCGCTAATTTACTAGCGAAATCATCAAAAACAGTATCAAAATCTATTAAATTTGGAGCAACATCTAATCCAGCAGCTAAGCTTCCGAATAAGTTACTTGTAAATTTCGCTTTTGTTGCAGTGCTTCCTTCTTCAACTTTGCAACTTTTATCAAGCTTCCAAGCAGACCCATCCCAAGTTTTACAAGAAGTATTGAATATCATTAGTTTATAGCTTAAAAGTTCTGTTGAACAATTCGAGCAGTCTCCATTCGAAACTACTAGAAATACAGTTTGATTTTTTTGAGATTTAAACATAATTGTCCTCTGATATTCACTGCAATAGTCTTCATCCATTGCAGTTGTACATGTCTTATTAGTATTTGGAATTGTAAAGGAGCCATTATTTATGCTATCAGTTGGACGAGTTTCAAATCCTATTAATACTGATAATTGTGGGCTATCTTTTAAATCGAAAGATAATTGTATTGGATGTATATCCTGAGTTATATTGAAAGTATGAATAACAGATTTTTTTGTCGTATTAATTAATTGGCCTTCCTGGTCTGCTTTGTTTGTCAATTTTAAAGTTAATGAAAAATTTGCTTCAATGTTATCTTTGATACTTCGCTTTTTTCTCGTTCCATCCTTTATTGTTACATTACAAGGACGGATAACAAATTCTGTAACGCTTGATGTAACGTCGGATGATGTTTTATCCCACATATACGGATTGATCTCTGACATAATCAGAGTTCTAGTGAAGCATGTATCGTTATCAATATTAACTGAGTTCATTTCTAATGTTCCTAACGATGAAGAATAGCTAGCATTCTTCATCTTTCTGCCTTCCGCACGTTCAATTTCAATACTCATTTCGTCGAACTCTACTTTCGTTGGCGATTCCCCAACGGGTTTATCATTTAACAATTCGTCGGAAACGTTATGTATAACGTTTATTGTCTTCTCCATAACAGTCTTCAATTTACTCTGTGTACCACTAATAGCTGTCGAACTGTTAGACGATGTTTCAGTGTTGTCACTGCTGTCCGTAATGTTGCCATTATCATCTATAGTTATACAGGTAGCTGTTCCATTAGACTTCTTTGATGATTGAATAGCTTGCTGAACCTGTTTATTCACGGAATTAGCTGCCAATGTCATTCTGATACATGTTCCAACAAGGCCTATATAATTTAAGAAATAATGTCAAATTAGTGTTTTAAATGACAACACAATTACAAAAAAAACTGATATTACTTATAGAGATTTCATTAATAAGTTCTTTGGATTGCTCTCTATTGTTGTTCAATGCGGTATTTAATTTTAATAATTGATCACTAGCATCTTCCTGTTAAAAGTATAGAAATCAAAGCGATGATATAAGGAGTATATGAAAGGTTTCAATCTTGTTCAAACCTGAGATTTTAAAGATACTTCATCTGACTTTAACATTAGCGTGCTTACTAGACCATTATTCTGCTGAAGTTCATCAGTGGATTCATATGGAATTTTTAATGCAACTTTCATCAATTTCTGTCGGATCTTAAATCAAAGATTGGTTATTTTCAAAAGTCTATTTAGATGTAATAATAGTTTAAAGTTTGTACCTTTAGTTTTTCTTTTGTCTGATTGCAAGCATTTTCAAGCTTTTTCTCCTTTGGTAAAGAAACGCTTTTTGTATCATTGAGTTTGGCATTTAAAATTGATGTAACAGAATAAACAACTGAAGCTACTTGGCTGAATGATCCATTTTTCAAGTCATCTTGTAGTTGTTTGCCATCTACAAGATCATTGGACATTGCGAGTATTCTATCCACTGGAATTGGTGGTGGTTCAACGTGGACGTCAAAAAGAAAATCATAAATATCACCAACAGAATCTATTACTGATATAATGATCACGGTAGTTTGGTTAACTTCATCGCCAACAGGCAACATTAAGTAAACAATTTCTTGTTTGATAGAGAAATGAAGAAGGAATTTCAAACTTGCTCCTTTTGGTTTAGCTCGATATTGATATTTTAAATTCATTGTATCGGACGTTCTATCAAATTCTTTCCAGTTTAAACAACTTATGGCAAAACGTGTTTCACCAGCAAAACCACTTCTAGGCATACAGTCACATTTACCACCGTAGGGTGGTTTATTAACTATGAAAGTATAATTTTCTCTTCCAGTTTCTCCTACACCTTCTAAAACTCCTTCAACAATTAAGCTATGCATTTTTCCGTGAGTCATTTTCCCTTTACCAATGTTAATTGAATCTATGTTCAATTCATCAGTGGTCTTAGAACGTAGATCGTCAACTTCTTTGAAGTTTCCATCATCATGTCTTTCGTATAGTTTCCAGAGATAACGTTTTGTCCAATATAAGCCAGAGCATTTTGATAGACATTCAACTTTCATTATGAAATCTGATGAGAGAGCTATTTTTTCACCACAATTTTTCAAGCATGTGAGCTTTAAAACGGGAGGACTTGGTGGTAAAAGTTTAATTTTATGTTCAACAATCTTCTCTCGATTAGCGTATTCGGATACTACTTTAACAGTTACAATATAGGTTCTATTTGGTAGCATGTAGTAAGTGTTGAATTTTCTAACTCCCATAGAATCTTCTTTAACTCTACCAGGTCCTTTACCGAAACATCCACCCTTTTTGTGAAATTCTTCTAAGGTAGGTATATTATTTAGAGTTTCATCCGTATATTTATCTGAATTTGGTAACGTTTCATGCGCTTGTCGGCAATACATTGAAAATGATAGTCCTTTTAATTTTTCGTTAGGATTATTATCTGGATCAAATGTTAAGGAAATTGCATCTAGAGTTAGAATGGTATCGTATTTTGCTATAGTTTCTTTCCCTTGAACAAAAAATACTTGAAGAGGGCTTGGAACTATCTGAATATAAATTTTATAGCTGCTCCTTAGATGTTCAAGATTAAGCATGTGTATGGTATAATCAATACGATACAATCCAAAATCTAAAGTCCTTGGCGGGAAAGTAAACGACTTATTGGAAAATGAGTAGACAAGAGATTCCGACGGTAAGATATAGGTTTTCCAATCATACACTACGACGGTTGTTTTCATACAATCTTGAGTGATATTAACAGGTATTTCAGTGTTTAATCCTTTAGGTACTTCTTGAGGATTACTTATATCCATAAATATCTCTGGGATTGTTGCATTTGGAATAAAACAAAGCCAATCAATAACTTTTGCTATAACCCATCGGTTTTCTTCAGTTATAGAATTAAATGCTCTAACAGTTACATTAAATTCAGCAAATTTATCATAAGTGTGTTCAACAATTATATACTGTTGATCGTATGAGATTTGCGTAAAGGGAATTGATCTGAAATCGGAGTATTCCTGACAAACATCGTTCACTCCAAAAGACATTTTTGTTGCAGAATCGTCACCTAAATCGAATATAAAGCAAGAATTTGTTCCCATTCTCTTAACTTCCGTAATAATTGTTGATACATTCTTAAAAAAGACTGTACCATTACTCCTCATAGAATCAAGAATGACAGCATCCAAAATAATTTCTGTTGAAGTATTAACAGTCATTGAAGAAACTAGATTATTACAAATAACTGTAGTATTTAGAATTCCAATTGCTGATTTTGGAAATGTATGATAATAATAGAGAGATTGTAATGGTTTCCATATAGGTATAAATTCTTCTCTAGTCATTCCGTTACTGAATGAAAATGAGCAGTTGACATCAGTTAGAAGTCCTTGATTGTTCATTGAAACAAGCTCATATTGAATTATGCCAGGAATCCATAGAACGGATTTATTACCTATTAATCCAATGTTATCTATTCTATTTTGTACTATTATCTCCCCAAAAGTTTCCAATTTACTCACAAAATTCTCTGCTTTAACTTTAATAGTAAAAATACCAATTTCAGGAAAAGGAAACTGAATAATAAAGGGTTCAGCGCTAGCATAAACTTTAGGGTGTGCCTTAACCATAGTAGAGAAATTTCCAAAGGAAACAGTATAAGTTACAGATGAACCATTCTCAGCAAGAACGTTTAATGTTAAATTTTCTAATTTTATAACAGATGTATTATAAACCATATCGATTACGCTCAGCTTTTCATATACGCTAATATTATGAGAGGTAGCCGCAGAACTGATCAAGTTTCTGCAAATAATTTGGGTCATTAATATTCGACCAGCGTCTTTTCTAGTATAATCATAGATTAATTTAATTGATTTTGTAATAGATAGATCTGGTTCATATTGATAATTCTCTGTGGAATTGTTATCATCTCCGAAAATATTTATCGAACAAAATAGACTACTTGGTGGTTGATTTTGTGAATTGACTTTTATAGTAAATTCAGATGGTTGAACATCAAGTGTAGTTACATTTGGTCCAATTATAATAACATCATTCACAGGATATTGAATTACCATTGGCCATGGTAGAGTTGATATTAATTCATTAACAGTATTATTAATGGTTAATGTAACTGTATAGTTGCCTGTTAAACGATAAGAATGATTGAACATAGTCGGTTTATAAATGTTTTCATGCTCTTTAATGTCTAATAAATTATCTCCGTAATCTAGATATGTATTAACATTATCTCCAGTTGTAGTTGATGCCACGAATTCTATTGTCTCATTAACACCTGTAAAATTGGTATTGGAAGAAACATTTAATCCAGTTATCTCTTCCCTTAAAGTTAAATTTAGGGAAAAGAAAGCGCTTGATACTAAATTTGAACAATTACTATCAACTACTATATCCTTAAATCTCTTCTGATTATATCTTCTACTGTAGATGTTGTTCACATAAAGTCCATCAAGAAGATTGACTAAAGTACTATTGACCTCAGTATCGTTACCAAAAGTTGTTTTACAAGTAACATTTGTAGGAAGGAAACGAGGAGAAAGCTGTTGGAGAATAAGTGTAACGTTTCTTGGCTCAACATAAACAAGGGAAGATGATGCATTCATAATTTTATGTTGAATTATAACAGAAGTTTCGCTGATACTAGTTGTATTAAAGAATTTATTCCGGCCTATTGCAACGGTTCTATAGATACCGTCTATTTCATACATATGATTTACAACTAATGGTTCTTCATAAGCGAATAGTCTTGGAGTTTTTACTGAAACATTTGTACCGTCACCAAAAAATATATCATATTCAACATCACTTCCATTTTGAAGAGTTAAAGTTAGTGATAAATTTTTGAATGTTGGCCAAATTGCAGCTTCATAGGCTATAGTCAGATTCGAGATATTTTGCTGGAGCATGAAAAAACTGGTTGTTGATACATTGGAAACTGAGTTATTACAAGTAACAATTGCTTCTGCTTGATATAAATCTTTGATATAGTTGTAATAAATTGAGAAAGGTAGTGAATAATTCAAAATTCCAGTCGTAGAAACTGAAGAGTTGTGACCAGTTTCAATGATACAAGTTAGATAAATATCTCTGGTTTTGTTGTTTTTTTCATTGATAAAATCGACAACTACAGACACTTCTAAAGGCGGTTCGTTAGGTACATAACTATTTTTAATAAAAATATGATTCTTTAATATAGGCTCAACATTTTTTAACAGCCAGAGCGTTTCTTGTCCAACGTCATTCCATGCTGTAACGCTGACGTTGTATAAACCATATCTTTCATACAGATAAGTTAGAAAATATTTATCAATAGATAAAAATGATTGAATATGACCTTCAATAAACCAATTCCATGTTTTTATTATTCCATCACCATAACTAACATTAAAATTCACATCTGTTCCCTTATCCCAGAATATTGAAAAGTTACTGTATGTCCCTTCCATAAGGCTATTATATTCTAGAGTAAATGTTAAATTTTCTATTTTTAGACCAATACAATTGATAATATCCCTTAGGTCGGAACAAGAATATGGAATGGAACTATTATAGAGAGAATATGATGAATCTTGTGCAGGCACTACCATACCACACAGGTATTTAACATTTTCGCATTGATCTCTTTGAATTAGCAAGACGCCTAGAAATTCAAAATTCAAACTTTCTTTATATTTTAGACTAGCTGTTTCGGATATTGATTTTATTGCTAATTCAAAATTTCCTATCTCCTCTTTTTCTCTATCAACATCAGAAAAAAATAGTGTTATTTGGAAATTGTTTCTGTTAGCTGGAAGTGTAGAAACTTCGAATCGTTTATCAATGTTTGTCCAATTAAAAGTTGTTCGAAAGGATTGATTATAGCCTCTGATAATAGTTTGCGGAGGAGTCGCTATCTGCGGTTTTATTTGTATAGCTGTGTGCATAAAATGAAATAATTATTCTATAATAAATTCGACAGTTTTCAATTCTACAGCAAAATAAATATTATAGTCATGTATAGGAAATACCTGGAGTACAATTTTTTAGTGGATTGAGATCAAGACATAATATATCGTTATCAGTATTATTTCCTTTAAAACTAGATGAATTAGATGGAATAAATCGTATACAAATATATATGTTGTCCTCGCAGTCTTCTCTGGAAAGTTTACTAATGAAAGATGACGAAATATTTAGAGTATTTCCAACTGCAAGACCTTGCTGTTTAGTTTGTAAGTCAAGTTGAAACTCCTTCCATCCAGTAGAGGAACTATTGAACGTTTGTTTGTGTTTTGTTACAAGATATTCAATTTGAAAGTTGACCCTATCGCCTTCAAGTTTAATAACGCTGTGACTGTTTGTTGGCAAATTATGAAAAGAAATTATAATGGAGTTATTTTGTTCAATATCTCTGTAAATTGGCTCTGAAGAGTTCCACAGAATGTCACTTATAGCTACGTCAATATCTAATAATTGAAAATATTTATAAGAATCATTTTCAACATATTTTACAAAATGGAACTTTTACAAACCAGGCTGACAGATGAGCATTTGCTCCATTGTTGTACAATAAGCATTGTTTTCTTGTTCTAAATCTATGTATGTGCCATAATTTGATGGCACTACTTCAGTGCAAATATATTTAACTTCACTGCAGTCTATAGTTGGTAATGTATAATTTACAGAAACTTGTATTGTAGTTATTCCTCGAGTTTTAATATATTTATTCAAGCCTGGCACAGATGTAACAGGCAAATTTATTTTCCATGTATGGTTGTTTGTTGAATTTGTAAGAATAAGATACGTCAAGTTAAAATTAGTCATTGGAAGGCTCTTTTTATCAATATATCTGCCCGTAACACTTTTAAGATATATTTTAAAAGGTTCAACCATTGGTTCATCTCGAACAATGACTTGTTTTGAATTGTAGAGTGCTATTTTCGTAACTGCAACATCAGTCTCTGAAAAGATGAATTAATTTACACTTGTGGTCATAATTATAACTTTCTTGTTTTACGTACTAGGTATACATTTTTTATCAACTACTACTGTGAACGTTTGGCATCCACAAGTATATGTCACTGGATCAAAACTATCAGGTTCTCTAGTAGGAATGCATGTTGATAGCGTCTCTACACAATCGCCATCCCATTCACAAATATCACCATATTTACCTATAGATATTGCTAATTTTTTTGGTAATACTTCAATTTCGCACAGGCTTAAAGTTTTATCAGTTCCCACCATCCAAATAGCTAATGTAGTTCCCTTCAGGTAGGGATTGGTGCATTCTATGGTTCTGGTTGAACTGCGAGAAATAACTCCTGTGTAATATCTACATAGAGTAAATTTAGAAATACTAAAATTGCCATTCAACGATTCCTCAGCTACGCCTATTTTGAACTTTGACAATGAATGGACATCTATTAAAAGACATAGAATACTTTAGAATTAAACGTATATGAATAAGGTATTTTGGACAATGTAGCAAATTTACCGCTGGTAACTATCGTAACTGAACCAATTGTGAACGTCTTTCCCAATTCGACGTACCACCAAGGGTAATCTGTAGGAGTTCCAACTGCACAATATCTTTTACTAGGATCTGATATTCTAATACTATCAACTGCAAGCTTAGCTTCATACTCTCCATAGGTGGTTTTCTGAAAAGCCTTCTTTAGAACAGCAACATTATCTGTTAATAAATCATAGATCTTAATTCTATGTATAAATAATAAAAAAATTATGATTTTACAGGTAGATAATGACTTCATTTTCATAACAAACTTTTCGACTTTAAAGATATATTGTGAATTAAATGTCGTTTTCAATACTTGCCATACAGACTCAGGTCCTGTAAGAATAGATGATGAACATTCATTCTCTCTATGCCACCAACCGCTTTTGATTGGAGATGAACAACGTGAATTGTCTTTGTCAAAAGTATTGAAAATCATATTTTTCTTAATTAGGTTTCCATGGGTTGCTGTGCCCCTCAAGAATTTTTTTAACTCTAAGGTAAATGATTCCATCTCTGGTCGAACTATGATTTGAGAAAATTCTGCATAGATATGCTCTCCATCTTTTGACCACATATCAAATCTAACAACGTATGACCTGTAGTTAGTCAGTTTTGATATATGATAGTTTCCAGCCCATAGTTCCACACTTGTTGAGAAACCATTTGTATAATCATACCAGCTTTTAAACCATTTATCTCTACTAGATAATTTTAGACCAATAATATTCCAATTGTTTTGGCATGTTATAGATTTGATACTCTGGCAATCTACAATGATATCAATACAACCATATACTTCAAATCTTGCATTTGCACTGGTCTCAAACTTTTGAATGTTCAAAAGCAAATATCTCGCATAGTTTGATTCGGAAAATATGTATGTTTTAGTAAAATCATATTTCACAAGACCCTTAAAAGTATTTGTACCATCAATTGCTGTAATATTCTTCCAGGTGATTAAATCAAAAGAAGATTTGAGAGTAAAATCAGTTACATAATAGGCAAAATTAGGGTTTGCATTTCCGCCCAAGATAAAATGTGATAATGAAAGTGTCATATCAAAAAAGACAAGAAACCAAGGCAAGACATCGCTGCTAGCAGGTCTCCAACTTAGTTGACTTGTACTTTTATGTTGAAAATTGAGGTATGTTGCCCTGTCTGTAGAAAATTCTGACGAGACATTCCAAGTTGTACCATATGATCCACTGGACAGAAGTGATTCCGAACACTTTCCTGTACAGAGTATATTAATAAGTTTTTTTTGCAAGATTTTAAATGTTTGGCAAATACCTGAATGAAACAATTCAAAATATATGCTTCGTGCTACATTTTCTTTGAGGACAGTTTGAGAACTAAATCTATTGGCTGAGTAGAGAGTACACTTTTGAAGATTATCAAAAACCCTAAAAGCTAGGCATCTAAATCTAGTTTCTTCTTCGCATGCTTTCATGCATTCGTATTGAGTTAGAAGAATTGTATCAAAAGTAATACTCGTGAGGTTTGTCTCCAGATCAATCGAAAAATAAGCCAGCCATTGTTTATCATACAATTCATCTTCAAAACCTTCAGAAAAGAATAATACACTTATGGTTACGAATTCATGCACATTTTTGTTTACGAACCAAGAGCTTCAGTCTCACAAGAGAAGCTGTATTTGCTAATACAGTTGGTTGGAATAATCCATCCAGTGTTGAACATCAGTAAACACACTTTACTTCCTGTAATCTTGGTTTTCTCCAAGTTATTGCTAGCTGGATCTCCGTCATCCCACATCCATTGATTGTTGATCTTACGAATGCCAATAAAAAATGACCTAGATCTTTGAGCAAAGCTATTAAAATTTTATCTTGCAATAAAACATATTTACTTGTAAGCCACTGCAGACATAAAGTTCACAAATTGGTGGTTATTTCTTTTCATAGTTGTTAAGCCTGAGTATCCATTCCAATTTGTACACTTTTCTGTAGCATAAGTCAGACTACCCAATGTTGAAGATGCAGTAAAGCATTTTTTTCCAAAAAGGTAATATGATGGAGGACAATCTTAACAATTGAAGAAACAGGTAAAAAAATTTGAGCAAGAAACTTATTGTAAAGATCTCTTACATCCTTGTGAAGCTGCATTCATTGTTAATTTTAAGCATGCGCTGGATATATTTCTAACAGTTATGAACAAATATCTTGCAACAATGGGAAAAGATAGGAAAATATCATGGATAGTCTGCAGAAGACAAAAATATTCATAAAAAGTAAGATAATATGCTAAAGTATACATTATTAGTAATATAGTCTATTCCTTCTTCATAAGTCGTCATGTTTATATTTTTGATACCGTGCTCAAATGAAATGTTAAGGCGATGCGTTAAATTGGATACAATTCGAAAACCAGTGATTTTGTATGCAATAGTAAAATCCATCTTTAATATGTTAATAAAATCAATGCTGGTATCACCAATACAAGTTAAATTTGTCATTTCATTAATAGGTTCCCAAGAGAAAATTTCGTTCATAGCATCAATTTCATTTATTAATTTAATAGAACTTCTAGAATTTTGTTCAAGTAGACCTTCCTCTATTGATATACATATATTATATAAATTATATATTATATAGAGTATACTTAACTGACAAAATTAAAACACAGAATACTTACGGACAATACAACCAATTATTTCCAAACGAAATCCATAGTGTCCTACTTTTGCCGTTGGATAGATTCTTACAAATTTAGCATAAGTTATATGTTTTAAATTAATCTTGTAATTCATTGATTTATCAAGTGGGTTAGCTCCTGAAACTCTTAACTAAAGAAAAGCTATAGTAAAATACATTCTTGTAATTTACTCTCCGAAGATATATTACCTCATTTTCTCCATTTTCACTATAAATTTTCCAATCTTCACTCCTTTTTAAACTGTAATGATATTGGCATCTTGTTATGTATGTACGAGAAGTAGAATCACATATTTGAAACACAAAACCAGAAATTTTATATAAATTGATGAGGTCAAATTGAATATATGTAGGAGTAGAATGAAGCCAACACCCTCCTTGATAATTGTAACGAACGCATTGAGAATACGTCGGATAACTTAAAGCAGTATAACTTGCAGCAGTTATTTGCATATCTGTTATCATTGAAGGATTTTCAAGACCTAGGGGATGGTCACAAGTATCTGGAGCTTTGTCTATATATTCCCCATATACTTGAAGGGCATAAGTTGGTACAGTTTTATACTGTCCAGCGGCAAATCTTAAGCTTTCGCACAAAATAGTTGGTTTGAATGCCATATGCAATACAAAATCCCTAGATTGAATTAACCGATAATCCTAAAATATGTTAATAATAGTATTTATAGGAATTTAAAACTTATAAAGCTTACTATCCAAACTCCGTTGCTATTTCTATGAGGGATCCAATGATCATAATTATTTACTTTATAGTAGAAACCTCCACTTTTAGTATAAAAAGCAGTGGACCATGAACCATGGGTAGAAAATGCCAATAATTTTACTGTTTTTGGAAAATCAATTTGAAGATAAGAAAAGTGAGTATTTTTGCCAATTAGAATGTTGTAAGAATTAGCTGCTACTCCATAGAGATTATAAATAATTCGGACTGAATCAAAGCTGTTGAAAATTTTTGATTTTATGCCAAATTCTTCCTCTCTTTCTGAGTATTCAGGTAAAAGACGAGTGGTAGTAAAATCAAAACAAATATATTCGTAGTACGTATATGAATTAGTTGCTTGTACTCCAGAATAGTTTACATCAGTTGCTGTTTTATTATTTATCTCGCATGCAGTCGAAGAATACAACCTAAAAAGTATTGAAAACTAAGGGTTCTAAAATATCTGTTAGCCTACGAGATTAGGAAACTTACAAATTTTGATAATTGAATGATTTACATATATCTTTATGATTAAGACAATAATCCATACATTGTTCGAGAGTTACAGCATTCAGAATAATAGGTGGATCACTAAGTACCAGTCTCTGCGTTTGCTTGCTCCATGAAGGTCTACAATCATCAACATCTCTATCCCCTCTATTATCAGGCTCTTTGATATGAAATAAGCGTCATTATTTAGATATAACTCAAAGAAATTTAATTACCGTTTGCTTCCGTTTCACACACTACTAAAGCAGGCGTTGAACATGCAACTGTAGCATACTCTCTCGTTCCAACAGTACATGTTTTAGTTGGACTAAAAGTCTCTGGATTAAAGTCAGGCAGTCTAATAAGAGTAGTTGTCAGATTTTCGCCATTATCCCATTGAAAATAGTTTGGTCCAAGGTTCTTTAATCCAATAAAATAATTGCTTAAACCGAATCTGTATTGGAAATATTTATAAAATACAGAAATTATAATATACAGTATACTCCTAAATTGTATTTAATTAAACTACTTTTCATAAATTAACAAAGTTGCAAATGTTTGTTCCAGAAAACTCTTTGGTCTAACTATATATCCTTCACTTTTCCAATTCAAACCAGATTTACAGAATGATTCGGCTTTATCTCGTGTATCTTTTGAATTCGATGAAAGATAGCATTTGTCAAGATGTCTCGCTGATCCAGGGGGACAGACAGGAGCTACCTTACCATATATTTCAAATCTTATGCAATCAGCAGTATTATTGATTAAAAACTTTAGAAAACGGATTCTTAATGCCGGTGCAAAGTACATAGATGTTCCGGTTTCAGAAAAAAAGCAATATGATCCCTTAAAAATTATTGAGGGTTAAAATTTTGTGAATAAAGAAATAAAGCTAAACAAACCTCAGATAAATCATTCAGATTGGTTTCATTATATTGTGAACCTAATATAATTATGTCATCACAAGCTTCATTAGTTATATTATCTCTATAGTAAATGGCTAGTCGATTTACATAGTAGATTTGATCAAAATCAATAAACCACCATGGACTCGAATCATTATTTAATATGCACCAAAATGTGCTTGGATCTCCAAATGCTAAAGATGCTATTGATGTAGAATTATTTTCTGATGAAGCCGTTATATTCTTTGGAAAAGATTCCGTTTTGTTTAGGATATAAAATTCATTTTCTATAGGGTAACCATAAATTTCCATTGTAACAGCCCCTTCTACGACGAAACTGCCCTCCCTCCAAAACCTGAAAATTCGAGCTTGTATATTCTTTGCAAATTCAGCACGCCATCTTTTATTGTCTCTTTGAGATTTATAAATTCGTTTTGTACCATCATCTTGTTCGTCATCTTTCCAAGAGTCAAAGTCATTTGCATATTGAATACTAAACGCTAAAATGTGGAAATTTGATTGACATGCCCCTTGAAGAACAACATAAGTTACTAAATGCTGGTATCCTAAATCAACTTGCCAAAAATTGTTTAGATGCTTATATTTTGAAATAAAGAATCCTTTGTTACCACCAAATATTGGATTACAACCAGGTCGAATTTCGTTTATTGTTCCATCAGCATAAAAAAAATAACCGGCTGATAATTGAGAATCCAAGATATAGAAGTTGGCTAAACCAAGCGCTTTAGCAAGAGGGCCTTTGGCTTGATCGTCTTTTAAAGAATAAGAACAGCCAAAAAATTCTAATCTTAATGTAGGAGCGATGTGATAGCTTATTGATTGAAGATGAACAACTTTTGTTACAAGTGTTGGATAGAAACTATTCTGAACAGGCAGATTCTGGTTTATGTTGCCCAAAAATAACTTCAAACATGAAAAACAATTGCAAACAACAACTTTGGCTATGAAATTAATAACATACCCTTGATTCTCCCTTTGAATTCATTACAACTTGCCATATTTCACTATCATTACTTACTTCCATTTGAAAATCAACCACCCAATTGGCCAATGTACTTCCGGCTCCTTCAATAGCAAGTCGGTTTATTTTTACCAGCTTCTTAAAGTTTATCTGCAAAATATAAATATAAACCGAAAGTGAACATAATGTTATTTCAGAGACTTACAAGTATATATGGGTTTGAAGAAGCAGCTTTAAAATAACCTTCATTAATAGGATCTTTGTAAGTATTAAATTGTCGAAAGTTCATAAATAGTCTGCTGAGATTGTTAGAGGCTTGCGATAAAACATTCGATGTTATTTCTATGTCTTTTATGCTATTTGGTCCATATAATAAGCCATCCTCACATTTATCTCTATCTATGTACTTTTCCCAAGATATCCAACCTAAACCTTTCGATATACCTTCAAGAGAAGTACCTGCATATAAATAACAGGTAGGTTTCTTGAATGAAAAACCCTTGCATTCGTATCTTTGTTCCATTTCGCAATAATAGGCACAACCATCGGCGCTGAATGCAGTAATCGTAGTTTTCTTAAAGTTAGTGTTCAATACTCTATTGATGTAAGGTAACCATCTCAATTTTTTGCTCATTTCTTTCCCTAAATTGATATTTTTAACATTAAACAACAATTTAATAAGCCTAAAAATTAAAATTAACTATTATTTTTTATTTCACAAGCGTAATAGGCTGGAACAGAACAATCTACTGCCTCCCAAGCATGAACATCTCTTCCTGAATGTCTGACGCAGCTCTTAGTTTTATCTTCTGGCTGTCCGCCTGTATAATCTCGCAGCCAATTTGAAAAGTTATTCATTTCTTTATCTACCCACTCCCATTGATAATTCGGAAGAATTAATTCAAAAAAAGGCTTTTCAGGTATTGTTTCATTTAGAGCATATCCAATAAAATAAGGCTGGCTGTAACTGTTAAAAAGAAACAGAGTGTATATAATTATATGTGAATAGGTAGTAGATTCAAACCTGTAAGCTAAATTGCTTAGAATAGCATTTTCTTCATAAGAAGAGATGGTTATCAAGTGAGCTTTATCTGTCCATTCAGTATTATCGCAAACGTGATACATTGTATCTAAACCTGTTATAAACCCTGGTATAAAAACATAACAAGAGTCAAGGTAATTCATTGTATTCGGCGGGCAAATTTCCGCCTCACAACCATCTATAGAAATATCGGCACAAGGAAAGTTGAAATTTGAGTTAGTATGCCAAAATGTTAAGAGTAGTTTACTAGCTGTATGACGATTCTTAAAAGTTATATTCATAGTTAGATCATCTGGCATTGTTGTTGTATATTGATCAAGTGGTTTCCATATTTCATTTTCTCTTGACCACTCTAATTGCCAGTTTGGGGTAGGAAGTTTTTTCCAAGTAAATTGAAAGGATGTTAAATGATACAAAAATGACAAATTGATTAGCATTGCTGATTCTGTTCTTGTATAAGATGAATTTGTTTCCTTATCAAAGAATAGTACAGTATTCTTAGGTAGAGGACAAGAGGGCGTTACTGTTATATCAGCATTGAGCTTTGGACAAGTTACTACAAAATATAATCAGAATTAACAGAAGAGGAAAATAGAAAAAATTTTCAAACTAACCATCCAGTTTACCATAAAACTCAAATACAGAACCACCAGAGCTAACAAAAGAAAAACCATAAATTCTCACATAACGTGCTCTAATTTGTGATTTCAAGATGTAAATAATAGGTTGTAAAGCAATTGGTGTCCCTTCAAAATATATTATGTTCCCGTCGATATCCTTCAATTTTGTATCCAAGTCCTCAGGATACAATCCCAATGCAATCGTAAATTTCGCTATATATCCAGAGCAAAATGGAGATTGACTTACAGTGAGTGACTGCAGCTGAATATCCTGTACGAAATTAACTTGAAACCAGCTATCTCGTAAGCTAGTTTCCCAGCAAGGCTTTTGAAATGAAAAGTCCGCTTTTCTGCCATAGAATCTAGCTAAGAAGGGTGGATAATGGATGACGGATGCAGTTGCATAGTTACTAGTAGTTAGTTGCGTATCCTCAATATGACCAGATCCCATCCCCAACTTATGGCCATAAGTTTCTGGAATAAATGTGAAAAAAGTAAAGAATTCTTTAAATTTTTGATAAAGCTAATCTACCAAGAATATTCACATCTGGAATAATACATCCTCGAATGGAGATTCTGAATGATGGTGAAACTGTCCAATCGCTAGGATTAATTCGAATGCACTTAGCAGCAATTGGATTCTCTAACAGTATAACTTTTATAGAAGACCATGGTTTATTTCCCGGCATGGGCTAATATTGAAATATAATACATTTTAATAAATTAAAGATGGAGTTATTTTGAAAATATTCTCACCATTTGCTGGACTGAATCACTGTGATAATATTCAAATGATTCACAATTTAAACTGTATAGTAAATAGTGATTGATAATGTAATGTCTATCCAATAAATTTCCGCCAAGAAGAGAGTATCCACTCATATTAATAAAACTTTCAAATCGTATTTGTAACCACTGAAACTTATCAACAGTACCAAATCTAAACGCTCCATAATTATTTGGTTTGATATAATTATTCAATTTGACGTCATGAGGCTTTACGTTGGTATATGAGGACGAAGATTGAAAGTTTGCGTCTGATAAATCTTCAATATTAAATTCTGCTGTGCAAGTTGACACAGCAACTTTCCCTTCGCATTCATATTGATAATGATTAACATAAGCGTTGTAAGAAAACTTATTTGCATTATCAGCATACATTTTTTCAGAGTAATGTTTACACGTCTTAGAACGATAGTTCCAAGTTATTGCTTTGCAATCACCATATATCTTTTGGAAGCATTCCTAGAGATGTATTTCAAGAAAATATTTTAAATTTGAATTATTAATACATTAACATTAAATTCGTAATAACCTCCTGGCAAGGTATTCTGTCCATGACAAGTTGTTTTAGGATCGTTTGAGCACTAGCCTTTCTATAAGTCATATACCAAACTGGATTACATTCCGTTTCATCAGCTAAAAGTAACATAAATATATATTAATACAAATGCATCTAAAGTTTCCACTATTTGTCTGTGTTACCCTCGATATACGCGCAGAGAAGGTTGTAGTTTTTGTCTCTAACAGAATCATACCAAAATCCATTGCTATTAATTACTGTAAAATTCTCCTTTTCAGTTTTAAAAGGCTGAAGCTTTGGATGGAAGAAATGAAAATCTACATCTTTTCCATCAAACCAAGTAAAGTCTTGTCTCCAAGATAAGGATGTGTTGGTTCTAAACAGTCCTAGAAAAGTGTTAGTACTTCCTGATTTCCAGATCAATTGTTCAACCCAAGATTGTAATCTCGTAGAATTAACACTAACTAAAGTTGCATTTTGTTCTTCACATATACTGCTTAACGTCGTGGGACCTTGCGGAATGTTTTTGATAATGGAATAGCATTTATCAAGATGTCTGATCCAGCCATCCTTGCAATGTTTAGCTATTTTGTTACAGTTAATAGAGGTTATTGGAAAAAGAATAAAGAGAACTTTACTTACCATTGCCAAGTGAGAGTTCAAGTAAAATTAGAAAGAGTACAATCTTTATCATTTTAAAGATAAACCTATTCAGTACGTTTTCATTTCACTAGTTAATAGAAATTTACACTGGCAATCTACTTTTTCAGTTTTTTTCCTAGAGCTCTAGGCCAATGTCTGGAAAGGTTGTTTGTCATTGGTCACTATGCTTTGATCGTATTTGTAAGTATAATGGCAGGTGCACAAGAATGACTGTGTAGAAAAAAGAGCACTTACAAGTATAAATTATGTAGGTAAAAACAATAGTTGACATTAAAATGAAAATAACAGATTAGGATTACAGCCTAATACCATGAACTAGTAGGATGACAAGTTAAAAAGTACATATACATTTTTAATGAAGAGATTTTACTTGCATGGTTACTTTAAAGATAAAAAAAGATTGATAAAAAAAATGATAAAACCAAAGAATGCATAAAGCATAATGTGTTTGCAAAGTGTTTCTTTTCCAGGTGCACTTGATTAAAAGTGAAAGAAAAGTGACAATAATTCAAAAAATATTAGGGTAAAGATAAAATCAACATTAGCATAAAGATTGTTAGCATATTCATGTATTGCATGCATATTTTACTATAGAACTATTATTTATTAATTCCATTTTTCTTTTTTATGATTATTTTATAATAAACCTTAGGAAAATTAAAGAGAAAGTTGCTTTAAAGTCTTATAACAGTAGAAGTCTTGTGAAATATTAATTAAAGGTTGAAAAAGAATTTAGTATGTAAAGGTCAATGATATTTTTTAATTTCTTTTAATCTATTCACATATCAGCTACAAAAGATTTAATGATGAAACGGAGTGTGATTCATAATAGTGGTAAAGCTCTATCGATTGAATCTTGTTAATTTCAAAGTAGAGTTTCACCTTTTGTAAACAATTAAATGGTAGTTTATCAAAAGCTAAAAACTTTATAATTATAAAAAGTTTATTATTATGACAAAAGTTCAATAATCAAGGACTAAGTGCATTTCTATTAAAATAATTGACAGAAATATATGACAAAACTTTGCAATGATTCTTTTAAGTTATGATCATTCATTTGAAATATTTTCGAGTATTTTGATAAGTTCAGAGGTTAATTTTTCATCGTCTACGTTAATATTTAAATTAGAATTTAGAGAGATAACTCCTAAATTTTTATCAACATGTTCCATTAACATGTCAAAGTTGTCGATTTCTTTTGATTGCCAGCGTTGGACAACATTTTCCAAGAGTTCAATTTGATCGACGAGCACTACGTAAAAATATGATAATTAATTTAGTTGCTTGATAGTTGCGACAAATAAATAATAAACTCACTATACGCGTCATACTTTAGTTTTCTTGCATTATTTATTGTTTTCAGGTGTTTAGCCTTTCCAGTAAATATCTCTCTGAATACCTTTGTCAAATATTTCACAATTTTATGATCAGGAGGCAGAACTGAAGGATTGCTTCGAACGCTTGTTAGAAATTCGCTTAATGTTGTTATAAAGATGTTCAAGATGAAATATAACATCAAACACCCGTAGGATATTATATAAAACTTTCCAAAGCTTCCAGAAGTTTCAGACAAGCCTTGGAAATCTAAATGACCAAATACAGTTTCAAGTAGAGAATAGCAAGTGTATTGAAAACTCTGATAAGATTTTGTATTATAACCAAACATAAGGTATCCCCAACTTGCGTAACCTACGAAAACTATGGATAAGCAAAATCCAATTCCTAATAAATCTCCTTTTGACTTTTTAAGAGTGCAGACAAGGATTGATATCGTTCTGGATAGTTTTAACATTGTTAAAATATGTAATTCTCCGAAAAATCCACAAAACCCAGTAAATATAATGAAATAGTAATGAGCGTTGAAGAATACCGAAAAATCGGTATATTCAGATCTTGCTTTCATCAATTTTTCAACCAATTTTACTCCTATAGCTGTCCTCCATACATATATTCCTATTGAAAAAGCGAAACTAGACAAAGAAAGAAACAATAAAAATCCAGGTATTTCTGAACTCATTACGAAACGGTAGAGGCAATGAATTGTCCATAAAAGCCATGCCACAACTGATAAAATTTCAAATGTAAGGATAATCAATCCCACAAATCCAGTATATCTGTATAATTTCAAAGATTCACTTCGAATATTCGATAAGACACCACCTATAGACTTTGTTCGAAATTTCCATGAAACGTGGGAAATAGTTTGGTGATTAAGAATTAAAATATCAAGTGATATAAGGCGAGTCTGCCTATCAGTCCAACCATAACGTTTAAGATCACGAATAACATTTACAGCTTCATTGTATGTTTTTCCCAAATATATTGAATATCCCCCATCTTTTTCAGAAAATGAAAATGCAGGATGAGAATTATTTTCATTATATTGTAACCAATGCTTTGAAAAGTTTTCGTTGGAAATAGAATTATCAGACAAACTACCATAGCAATTATGCAAACCAAGCGCTCTTCGGAATTTCTCAACAGCTCTGCATTTTACTTTATTTGTTCGCTTTTGTAATAGTCTAACTGATGAAAATCGCATATGATTCAATTCCTTTGTAAATTTCAAATCATATTTGCTTCTGTTTTCTTTATTATAATATGCTGTAGGATATAAACTGGGAATAGCTGTATTCTCTAGCCAAAACCACAAACTGTCATGAGATTTAACTTTTTTTACTAGAGGTATTAAATTGTAAAGCGCCCTATTTTGCTGATAAAAATCTGGAGATTGGTTATTATAAGCTATAAACAACACAAATATCATAAAAACAGTGTGGAGGAAAATATTTTTTACGATATTTTGCATCCTCTCCTCGAAAATTCTTTCAATTTTCCTTTCTCTTGTTTCTCTAGCTGAATCTTTGAAACGTTCTTGAATTTCTAATTCTAAGAATGAATATATTTAGAAATATCTATTTCATTATACATAAAAGAATCTACCTGCTGGAATGTGAGATAAATTCTCCTCTTCTAACTTTTTCATATCACCTATATTATCTTCGTATTCAGTTAGATCAGCATCCTTTTTAAACAAGAACGTTAACAAGAATACAACGACTATTACTTTGATTGGTTGAACCAAAATGATACTTTGTATAAATGAGAGAAAGAATGACATTAACCATTGTAATGATTTTTCTTTTCCCCATTGAATCGAGTACAGAACTGTGAAGAATGCCGCTGTAAATGCTGCTAGAAAAGCAAAAATCCATCCCAAAGGAACAGTGTATTTCCGCCATTTTTTCGAATTGAATAATAATGTAATCAGAACCAATCCAGGAAATACAACAACGCTACTTGCCAATCCAACATATAATTCGTAGACTGTGAAAGTCACTGGACCAAATGTTAATCCAGACTGAGCTTTAGATTCTCCAGAACCTCTGTAAAACATGCAGCTGGCAATCATTGACAAGAACAGAGCAACGAAGCAAACTGTTAATCTTTGGAGTCTTGTAAATTGAGATTTGGTTCTTCTTGCCCCTACAGATACCCACAAATGATCATCAGTAAGACGTCGGAAGAAGTTACGTTTAAGTAGTTGATTTAATTGAGGTTTTATGCCACTTCTCGTTGCTACAAGAACCTTCTCAGTTTCACTGTTTTCATCTTGATCAGATAGCCACTGTTCACAATCAAAGTTGTACCATGTATTTGCAGCCTTATCAATAATTACTATTCTGGATAGAAACCAATCATTAAAAGGAGTATAAGAGAATTTTTGTCTGTCAAGGGATACTTTCAAGCAAACTAAGTATCCAAGAGATTTGTTGGTAGTCATAATGAATGATTTAACGGATCCTTTTTCAAATGTATGTGAAACACTAGATTCCAAAATTCTTTCTCTAGTTCTTGAATCAGCTCCATAGCATATTAGAGACACCTTTGTACTGGTTCCTGCATCTTTTTCATTTCCGGTGTAGACATGAATTTCATATTCATAGTTATCTTCTTTCCTATTATCCATTAATGGTACAGACATCCAGAGTAATCTATCTCTCTTATCCATTCTTCTTACCAATAAAGCCAAGGGAATGAAAAGAGCTAACAATGCGCATATTGTTCCAAATACAGCTGCATTATCAGCTAATTTGCTCGCAAAGTCGTCAAACACTGTATCAAAGTCTATAAGATTTGGGGCCATATCTAATCCAGCTCCCAAACTCCCAAATAGATTACTCGTAAATCTTGTTTTTGATACTGTTGTCTCTTGATCAATTTTACAAGAATCTCTCTCTTGCCATCTGCCATCTGTCCACATTTTGCATAATGGATATGTTATTTGAATACTATAGTTGAGAAGTTGACTTGAACAGTTTGAACACGAAACAACAACCATCACTGTTGCATTTTCTTTTGGTCTAAGCATAATGGTCCTTCTCAATTCGTCACAGTCTTCACTATCCAGGTTGGATGAGCATGTTTTGTTTACATTTGGTAAGATGAACGATGCATTCTTCCTATCATTACTAGGTCTGAAATTGTAACCAATAAGGACTGACATGGTATCTTCACTTCTCAAATGGAAGGTCAATAGGAGGATATTCCTTGTTGCATTGAGAATATGCAGAGCTGTGTTCTTTGTAGTGTTTATATATTGAATACCGTTGTTTGTATTCTTCATATTCAGACTAAGTGAGAAGTTAGTTTGAGTATCTTGTTGTATACTTCTCTTCTTTCTAGTTGGTTGTTTTGATATTGAATCGCAAGGTCGAATTTCAAACTCAGTTACTGTTGATGTAACATTCGACGCGGAGTTATCCCACATATAGGGATTAACTCTAGTCATTATTATTTTGCTTCGCAAGCACATATCACCTGTGCTTAGATTTTTTATCATATTTAGTTTGACAAAACCATTCTCCGATAAGTATGACTTTCCTTGTATAGCTAAGTAATTGTCTTTTTCAAACTGTATAAAGACTTTGTTGTAGTTCACTGCAAATTTCGAATGATAAGAGTCAAATTTTTGAAATATATTATCTGTTAAGCTATTGGTCACTTCTTGAATACTCTCAATGATAGCTTTCAATCTTAGTAAATAATTATCTTCAACAGTTTCATTAGAGTTCGACAAAGTTTGTCCCTTTGTATCAAATCCTTCTCTCGTATAATTTAAAATATAACAATGAAAACTGTTATTTGATGGAACTGGGTTTGATTGGAATATTTTTTCATTT